CAGAACCAAAGACAAAAACCACATGATTATCTCAATAAATGCAGAGAAGCCCTTCGACAAAATTCAACAGCCCTTTATGCTAAAAACTCTCAAAAAATAGGTATTGATGGAATGCATCTCAAAATAATAAAAACTATTTATGACAAACCAATATCATACTGAATGGGCAAAAACTGGAAGCATTCCATTTGATAATTGGCACAGGACAAGGGTACCCTCTCTCACCACTCCTATTCAGCAGAGTATTAGAAGTTCTGGCCAGAGAAATCAGGCAAGAAAAAGAAATAAAGAGTATTCAATTAGGAAAGGAGGAAGTCAAATTGTCTCTATTTGCAGACGACATGATTGTATATTTAGAAGACCTCATTATCTCAGCCTAGAATCTCCTGAAACTGATAAGCAACTTCAGCAAAATCTCAGGATACAAAATCAATGTGCAAAACCCACAAGCATTTCTATACACCAATAACAGACAGAGAACCAAATCATGAGCGAACTTCGCAATTGCTGCAAAGAGAATAAAATACCTAGAAATACAACTAACAAAGGATGTAAAGGGCCTCTTCAAGGAGAACTACAAACCACTGCTCAAGGAAATAAGAGAGGACACAAACAGATGGAGAAACGTTCCATGCTCACGGTTAGGAAGAATCAATATTGTGAGAATGGCCATACTGCCCAAAGTAATTTATAGATTCAATGCTATCCCCATCAAGCTACCATTGACCTTCTTCACAGAACTGGAAAAAAACATCTTAAACTTTGTATGGAACCAAAAGAGAGCCCACATAACCTAAGGAAAAAAAAAAAAAAAAAAAACAATGCTGGAGGCATCACGCTACCTGACTTCAAACTGAACTACAAGGCTACGGCACCAAAACAGACATACAGACCAACGGAACAGAACAGAGGCCTCGGAAGTAATGCCTGTTGGGGGACGGGAGAGCTAGGGGAGGGATAGCAGGGGGTGGGGGGATTAGGGAGGGATAACATTAGGAGAAATACATAATGTAGATGTCGGGGGGATGGATGCAGCAAACCACCATGGCACGTGTATATATGTAACAATCCAGAACTATCTGCACATGTACCCCAGAACTTAATGTATAATAACAAATAAATAAATAAGATGCTGTCACAATTAGAAACTTTGGCTCTTTGAAAGAAAACATGAGGAAAATGAAAAGAGAAGCGGGTGCAGTGGCTCACATCTATATCCCCAGCATTTTGGGAAGCTGAGGCAGTAGGATCACTTGAGCCCAGGAGTTCAAGACTGGCCTGGGCAACATAGTGAGACCTCATCTCTACTAAAAATAAAAAATTAAAATAAAAAAATTAACCAGGCATGGGGGCATGTGCCTATCATCCCATTTACTCAAGAGGCTGAGGTGGGAGGATCATTTGAGCCCAGGAGTTTGAGGTTGCATTTAGTTACAATTATACCACTGCACTCCAGCCTGAGACCCCATCTCATGGAAAAAAAGAAAAAAGAAAATGAGAAGACAAACCATAGAACGTTCTGTACTCTCATACATTGCTGGTGGTAATGTAAAATAGTATGGCCACTTTGAAAAACAATTAGACAGCTTCCTATAAAGTTTTTTTCCTATAAAGTGTTTTTTTTTTTTTGGTTGTTGTTGTTTTGTTTTGTTTTTTAAACAGAGTCTTGCTCTGTTGCCCAGGCTGGAGTGCAGTGAATCAGTCTTGGCTCACTGCAACCTCTACCTCCTGGATTCAATTGATTCTCCTGCCTCAGCCTCCTCAGTAGCTGAGATTACAGGCATGTGCCACCAAGCCTTGCTAATTTTTGTATTTTTAGTAGAGATGGGGTTTCACCATGTTGGTCAGGCTGGTGTCGAACTGCTGACTTCGTGATCCACCTGCCTCAGCCTCCCAAAGTGCTGGGATTACAGGTGTGAGCCACCACGCCTGGCAGCTTTCTATACAGTTTTTATAAAGACTTGTCATGCAATGAAGCCATCCCACCTAATTCCAGACATTTTACCCAAGAGAAATGAAAACATAAGTATATTTAAAGACCTCTCTAGGAAGGCTCAAGTCAGTTTTATTCACAATGCCTTCAAACTGGAAACAATGCAGACATCCAACAATAAACTCTGCATCCTCCTTTGCGGTCCTGAGAAGGTGCCTCCCCACCAGCCCAGCTTGGCTGGCTTTAGTCCATCCACCAGTGTCCAAATGGACAGACAGCTTGTGGCATATCCATACAATGGAATACAATTCACCAGTGATAAGGAAGGAACTTGATACACACTCTAGTATAAATACTTGAAATTTTATGTTGCTTTAGTATTCATTTTGGGTATAGGGTTAACTGTTTCATACTAGAAGCAGGGCTTAGTCACCTTGGATACAGTTTCCAGCTCTCTGCCTCCTCCCAGTTTCTAAACACATTCCAGCCACCTCCTGGTAACTGCCTCCCTACAGGACGTATACATACAACCTACTAGACTCAGCCCACTGACGCCTATACCCTACATGAACTATGCAGATACGCCACAGTGACAACCCCTAAGTCACAAGGTGGCCACACAGGGCTCCAGTCTGCTCACTCTAGATGAACCAATTAGAACTCCCCTTGGGAAAACTACTTGAGTAATGCCCTGGACTCCAGTAAAAGCCTTAGCCCACAGATCTGTCTCTCTATGGCTCCCAGCAAGATAGTTGTGTACAATGACCCCAAGACCTTCCTGACCGCCCTCATTGTGCCCTCTTCCCCTGTGGATCTGTAAGTAATAGATCATTTCTGTTAGTGCCTGTGTTTCACTGTGTTGTGCCTGACTGACATGCTCAAACCTTATGTTTTCCCTGGTCAGGGCTTTTCCTAGAGAGCAGCTATCTTGGTGGGAATAAACTAGATACAGGTCAGACAAGAACTGCAAGGGCATCTGCCAGGATAGATAAGCCTCCTGGGAGAGGGATGTCTAGTGAGCCAGGATACAGAGGTGTCCCATGAAAGGCCCACTGTAAACACTCACGACCAAATCCCAGGAGCCCTGCCAGGGCAGAGTTGCCCTTTACAGGTCTCAAGACCAGAGTAGAGGAAACTTACAATACACACACCATATGGGTGACTCTCAGATGCATGTGCTAAGCCAAGAAAGCCAGGCACAAAAGACCAGGCAGTGAATGGTTCTTGTATGCAATTCTGAGAAAGGCAAAGTGCAGTGACAGACATCAGATGAGCAGTTGTCTGGAAACAGGGTCGAGGGAAGGTGAAAGATTTGCTGCCGAAGGGCAGGAGGGTACTTTTGGGAGGAGAGGAAATATGCTTCTTGAACTGAGGGGAGGCTAGCATGGTGGTTTCATGCGTCAAAAGTCATGGAACTGAGCCAGGCGTCGTGGCGGCGCCTGTGGTCCCAGCCACTTGGGAGGCTGAGGCGGGAGGAGCGCTGGAGCCCAGAAGGTCAAGGCTGCAGTGAGCCAAGATCGTGCCATTGCACTCCAGCCTGGAGTATCTAAAAAATAAAAGAAAAACGTCATAGAACTGTATACTTCCATGAACCATACTTAAATTTCCTGGTATTTATAGTATGTATATAATATATCATATCTCAATAAACTCGTTGTTTTTAATGTGAGGGTTGCTATGGGACATGGAGGGCGACCCTGCTCCCGACCCTCCGAAGCAGCGTTGGACTCGAGGCCAGCGGGGAGGTCTGGTCCTGCGGCTCTGCCTCGCCAGGACTCCTGCAGCGCTGTCCCGCCAGGGGGCAGCGTTGGGCCGGCGGCGCTGGCTGGACGCTCATGCGGCGGGGATGCTGTGGGGTCGCGGTGATGCCTTCTTCCACCTGCGTGGTGAGGGGCCGCGTCGCGCTACCCCGCTCTCCGCGCAGCCCGCAGCGGCGTGGCCACCGGCTAGGACACGAGTGCCCGCGCGTCGCGCCCTGGCTCCCGGGGGCCTGGCGTCTCGTTCCGGGAGGGAGTCTGGCTCCCGGGCACTGACTCCCTGTCCACACGGCGGCCTCCCTAGAGCCGTCGCCCGTCCTCGCCTGCGGAAGGCGGAGGGGCAGCACTGCCCGCCCCTGGCCACCCGAACCTGCTCCCCGGCGCCGCGAGACCGTGTCAGGTCCCCGTCAGCCTCGCTGTGCGGACTCCGGGAGCCTCCGCAATGGCTCGGTGGCCAAATGAGTACCTGGATGCCTGGGTTACCCGAGGCTCTCCCACCCCGACAAGCCACCGGATCCCACAGACACAAGCTGAGGAGAGGCAACCGCAGCACCAGCCCCGCGGGCCGACACGGACCCCTCGGGGCCGCACTTCCCCGCGGACGCCGTCCTCACGCGCAGGGAGAGGCGCCTCAGGGCCCGCTTGGACCAGCTCCTGAGGGCGTGGCGCCCGGGTCAGAGTCCTGCGGGGTTCCGGGACCTCCACGGTGTCGCGACCGTTCTCTCAGCCGCCTCTCGGCTTCCCTTTCCTGTCAGGTCTGGGGCTGTCCGAGGCGTGATTGCCTGGGAACGCCACGCACACGCTGATCACTGCGGGGCTCAGCAGCCTCCCTGTACGCTGAGTCACCTGTCATGAGTGACTCCATTTTGAGGCGTTGCGGGCCAGGGAGCAGGACCGTGGGCCGCACTCCCGGACCGCGCGCTGCCCTCGCCGACCTCCGGCGCGTGGAAGCGGGGCGGCGCCGGCAGAACTCCCCACCACGGAGAACCCCCAAATGGTCATTTCGAACAAGAGAAGCGTGGCCGGGGTTTTCGGTTTAAGATCCCCTCGCGCTGAAACGGCGCGGCTCGCATAGGAGAGGCTTCCAAGGAGGGAGCCTGAGCGCGGCCGGGCGACACCCATCCCCTCCTGGCGTTGCCCGGCCGGAGGGACCGCGGCGCCCCAGGACCCTCCCCAGCGTGGCCTCAGCTCGCCCCGGCACCGCCGGACCAGGCCGGGAGGGAGCGCAGGGACGCACACGGAGGCCCCGCCCGCGCGCTCCTCCTCCCTCCCCAGCCGGCCCAGCGCAGTAGGCGGTGGTCCCAGTCTCCGCGCGGCTGAGGGCGCACGGTCGCGCCCATTGCCTCCCCTCCAGCCCTCCGGTTCCACCGCCTCTGGGGTCACCTGGGACCCGGGCCCTCGCCGGGCCGAACGCCGCCAGCGCTGCAGGCGCAGCCCGGAGGCCGCGCGGGTGAGTCGGTGCGCAGCCCCAGCGGGCCCAGAAGAGCCGGTGCGGGGAGGGCGAGGGGACCACAGTCGGCTCCGTCCCCACCTTGCGCACAGCCGGGAGACCAGCAGGCCCAGCCTCTGGGGAGGACAGCAAGGGAGCCTGGGGCCCCCACGTTCTAGCTGGCACCTGTCCCTAGGCCGAGGTCCGCTGGCTTGGAGTACTGACCTGCTTCGGACCTAGGGGGACGGAGGCAACGGTGACATTTGCCTGAGAAGGGCAGCTGTGGGTAAACTCCACTCCAAAGCACGGCTCTGGGCCCAGGCTGAGGCCTGGGGTTGAATCCGCTTGTGCTGGCGGCTGGTGTTCTCCGTAAGGCCCATAATCGTACTGGGTCTCAGTTTCCCAAGGTATTCCCCCTAGGAGAATGCCCCCTTAACCGGGCAAGAGGTGGAAAGCGCTAAGCCCGAAGCCGAGAAGAATCTCAGCTCCGGGTCTTGGGAGCAGCACTTCGAGCCAGGCCTGCCCTCCCAGGATGAGAGGATGGCCTCCTAGCCAGGGAACGCATGGGGGCGTGGACAAGGCAAAGGCGACCCTGCCAGGGAGCACCCAGCGCTCGGGTTGGTGGTCATGGGGCCTTTGCGTGGGACTCACAGTGTGGCGGGGAAAGTTCGGTAACGACATTTCTCACCAGTCCTCAAAAGTCATTCTCAGCCCCAGACACCTTGGCCTCAGAAAGCTGGGAACCGCTTTCAAAATTAACACCCTCATCTCCTGCTACAGAGCGGAGCCCCCACTTTGCAGAGGTGCACTGCGAGGTCGCAGGTGGTTAAATGGTGCGCCCTTGTTGATGAAGATGCCTTGCTCTCTTTCACTCTCTTTATGTGTGTTTAATGTTGTGTGTTGCGTTCTCTGCTGAGCGAAGGATAAACACGGGCCTTTTCAGGCAACCGGCTGAATAAGGCGGCCAGCATCGGATCTTCCCATACTTCAAGGTGGAGCACCCTGCAGGGCTTACTGCAGGCCCCAGAGTCAAAATGAGGATGCAATGCTACACCAAAAGGCAAATGTACTCTGGGGAGCCATTCTCACCCTCTACCCCTGAGGCAGAGCCCTAGGATTGGAGGACTGGAGAACTGGAACAAGATCTTAGTCCTGAGGGCCGGAGAAGCAGCCTTTGGTGGTTGCACAGGGGCCCCACTTTTCCCGAAGTCTTAAAACCTGCTCCAAATGCCAGATCCGGAGAAAGGGTCCAAATCTTGGGCCCGCCGTCCTCTCATGTAAGCCCCGACCCAACAGCTTGGTAAGGAAGTTCACATATGCAGGTAGGGACCTTTCTTGGAATGAGCCACAGCGATGGTTTTGCCATTCCAGACGGAGCTGGTTCACTCCGTCCCGGGAGCCGACACGGTTCTGCGCACACACTGGGCGCCGGAGAAACATGGAGCACTAAAAGCCTGCCCAGGCCCTCGGATTCAGCGAGCTTGACAGGTGTCTCCATCACTCGTGGCTGGACAGAGCAGTCTTTCCTACTCCCTTCCCTCCCCTCCTCCTGCCCCACATATGTGCTGTCTTTTCGGGCCTTCCCCACACGCCCAGCACAGTGGTTTCTTCTTGGCTGTTCCCCTGTCTCCGAGATGGTCTCTCCCTCCTGCTTGCCTTACACTTTCTCTCACACACGAGCGCGAGCGCGGGATGCTCCTGTCGGCGTGGTTGTCAACACTGGTTCCCCTGCCCAATCTCCGCGACTCAGCACTGTCCCTTCACTCTAAAGCCCCTCACAAGCCCTACTGGGGACCGACCACCAGGAGACTACTGGAGATGCAAGATTTGGATCAGCACCTGACTGGCACCCTGACAGATCTCTCTGAATAAATGAATGAATGAGCAGGCTGCATCCTGATTAGGTAAAGGTGAGTCACCATGCTTGGCGTTGGCTCCACCCCCTGGGATAAAAGATGAGAGGCAGCCAGTTGGACAGCTTCTGTAATGGGGTCTCAGACTGGGAAGCCGGTGGCGGGCAGGTGTCGTTCTGCAGAGCTCCTACATTTGTTATAGTCGATGCCCCACTATGTTGCCACCTTCTCCGGAGGACCTCCTGCTCTGTCCTTGACAGATGGGCTGCAGTGGACCTTCCCAAGCTGGACTCAAGCCCTGAGATGACTCTCAAAAGGATTCCAGGCCTGGGAGATCTCAGCCAAACAAGGCAGAGAAACAGACACCTGTCAATGCATGGTGCCTGTAGAGTTTTGCACAGGGTCCTTCAGAAGCAGGGTTCAGGACGCCTTCTTAGGGGTCAGGGCAGTTAAGCAAAATGGATAACAAAATCAACCACTTATGTCTGCCTGTTTTCTTCATTTCATCTTCACAACAGCCCTGGGATGGGTACTCTTTTTATAGCTGGGGTATACATTGGGGTTCAGAGAGATTAAGTGCTCTTTCACCATGAACAGGTGGCAGAGCAAGGACTTGAACCCAGTTTACTTGATGCCACCACTGGTCTTAACCTCCATGTTAGCATATTGGGCAAGTGAAACCACATGAGCCAAGAAGCTGAGGTGAGAAACAGCACAGAATAGAGGAGAGGACTGGAGAAAGGCATGATGTTTCTGGAGCACTGAATTCTACTCATGAAGACATGAGTGGAGGCAGGAGGGGACACTGGAAGCCATGGAGGGCCTTGTCAGCTGCCAACACCAGTTTAGGTCACAGACACCCAACCCAGCTGGCACTGAAGAAATTAAGAAACAGACACAAAGATAAAGAGCAAAAGGTGGGGCATCGGGGGCTTCAGCCTTCCCAGCTGAGAGCCTTGAACAGAGTTTGACCCGCGTATTTATTGACAGCAAGCAAGTGATAATCATCATTACTGTACTTTATAGATTAACTAAAATCATTCTTCACAGGGAACAAAGCATTCTTTCGTAGTGGCAATAAACAGGCTCTGATGCATATATCTACTGCAACTGGAACACGTTTTCAGGGCACCAGTTCCAGAATGCCTTTAAGTGGTCTTCCGCCCAGGATGGGTCAGGTATTTCTTTCCCTCGCTCCAGTAAACCAACAACCTCCAGCAATGTGTGTCACTGCCATCACAAGTATGTTACAGTGCTACAGACATTTTGTTTGTGGCCAGTTGCTTTAAGGCCTGTTTATGACAGGCTTAGGGCCTGTTGCCAGCAATAAGCCACAATAAGTAATGTGGATCTGGTCCTGAGGGTGGTGAGGGGCTGGCCCCCCATCCAGAGGTTTATCACAAGGGAGCGATTTAACCTCTCTCTGCCACAGTTAGGAGGAAGGATACAGTGAGAGAGGGAAAGTGGAGAGGTGAGTGGGGGGTGCAGTCTACTCCAGGTCATGCTTCTTAACATGTTTCTCATTATGTATACACAGAAAAAGATTCCTGTTGTATGACACACTGGTTGACAAAGGAGGGGGGCTGTTTGCAGATGGAAACAATCAACCCAGGGGCTCCAGCCATCCGAAGATTCTACACAGCCAGCCCTGAGGCTGATAAATCCCAGGCACATACACACCAGTCACAGCATACCTGGACTCAGATAATGATAGTGGAGAATGAACAAGAGCTGGGTTCAGGAATAATTAGCAAGCAAACTTGGCATTACATAGTGAAGGGACAAAGGAAAAGGGAGATACACCTGCATTTCACCAGGGGATTCTGGACTAAATTGGGTAAATGATATGATACAGTTTTGCTTTGTGTCCCTGCCGAAATCTCATCTTGAATTGTAATCCCCAGGTGTTGAGTAGACACCTGGTGGGAGGCGGTCAGATCATAGGGCAGTTTACCCCAAGCTGTTATCCTGATAGTGAGGGAGTTCTCATGAGATCTGATGGTTTCATAAGCATCCGTCTTTTCCTCCACCCACACTCTCTCCTGCCACCTTGTGAAGAAGGTGCCTGCTTCTCCTTCTGCTATAACTATAAGTTTCCTGAATCCTCCACAGCAATGTAGAACTGTGAGTCAATTAAACCTTTTTTATTTAGCAATTACCCAGTCTTGGGTAATTCTTTATAGCAGTGTGAGAATGAATTAATACAGTAAATTGGTACCAGAAGTTTGGGACACTAATACATGGTAGTTCCCTCATTGCTGCAGGAAGCATGGAGACAGGGCTGCTTCCAGGGAGGATGATGAGTTCTGTTTGGCTGCCCTGTGTCTGAAGTAGGTTCAGAAGCCTAACAGGCAGTGGAGCGGAGCACAGGAGTCAGACAGACTCGGTCCAGCTTCTAGTTTCACCAACTTATCAGTTCTGCTACCTTAGGCAAAAAACCTGTTTATGTGTCTGTAAGACAGGAATAAGAATAGGTTTGCAGAGCCTGAGGTGGGAGGATTGCTAAAGCCTGGGAGGCAGAGGTTGCAGTGAGCTGAGATCACACTACTGCACTCCAGCCTGAGTGACAGAGTGAGACACTGTCTTAAAAAAAAGCAAGCGGTGGGGGGATATAGTTATAGAGTTGTTGTGATAATTAAATAAGATAAGGTACAGAGCCTGGAAGGTAATATGTATCTAATAAATGTCAGTACTATTATGATTATTATATTATTTCTTATTATTATCAGTAAATCTGAAGCTCAGAAAAGACGCAGTTTCAGAAGTCATAAAGTAGAAACTGAAACCATAAGAATAAATGAGATGATCCAGAAAGGGTGTGTATGGAGGATATTGAAGACCACGAGTATTGACATTTAAGGGGTGGAGGGAGGAAGAGGGGCCTAAGAACAAATGGCCAGGGGATGAGAACCTGTGGAAGTCACATGCAGCAGCCACACAGCTGATCCTCTGCCTCCTTTCTCCTTCCTAACAGAACCTGTTGTTAGGGTAAGCACCCACAGTCCCAGCTCCAACCCCAGAGGTGAGTCTTCATTGGTAATCTCATTTCCCTTGCCAATGACTGGTTTGGGAAGGTGTATTTGATGCAGTTCTGTTCAACAACCCTTGATAGAAAGTCTTCTGGGGGAACTTCTGGAAAAGATTTCCTTGATCTTAAAAAGAAATGCAGGTGCAGGTCAGGCACGGTGGCTCACACCTGTAATCCCAGCACTTTGGTAAGCTGAGGTGGACAGATCGCCTGAGGTCAGAAGTTCGAGACCAGCCTGGCCAGCATGGTGAAACCCCATCTCTACTAAAAATACAAAAATTAGCCGGGCATGGTGACGTGTGCCTGCAATCCCAGCTACCCAGGGGGCTGAGGTAGGAAAACCACTGGAACCTGGGATGCAGAGGCTGCAGTGAGCAGAGATCGTGAGACTGTACTCCAGCCTGGGTGACAGAGCAAGACTCCATCTCAAAAAAAAAAAGAGAAAGAGAAAGAAAGAAAAAGAAAGAAAAGAAAGAAAGAAAGAGAAGAAAGAAGAAAGAAAGAAAGAAAGAAAGAAAGAAAGAAAGAAAGAAAGAAAGAAAGAAAAAAGAAAGAAAGAGAAAGGAGAGAGGAAAGAAAAAAGAAAAGGAAAGAAAAAGAAAGAGATACAGGTGCAAATCAAAACTACAATGAGATACCACTTTACACCCACTGAGATGCCTGGAATCCAAAAGTCAGATAACAACAAGTGTTGGTCAGAACCATCATACATTTCTGGTGGGAATGTAAAATGATACAGCCACTTTGGAAAAACAACCTGGAAGTTTCCTCACATGACTAAACATAGAGTTACCATAGGATGCAAGGACTCCACTCTTAGGTGTATGCCAAGAGAAATGAAGACATATGTCCACGCATAAACTTGCACACAAAAGTTTATAGTAGCACTGTTTACAATGGCCAAAACATGGAAACAACTCAGAGGTTCATCAGCAGATGAATGGGCACACAAAATGTGGCACATCCATACAATGGGATATCATTTGACCATAAAAAGTAAGAAGGTACTGATACCTGCTACAGCACAGATGAACCATGAAACCATTCTTGAGTGAAAGAAGCCAGCCACAAAAGCCCACAGACATTTTATTCATATGGAAGCCCAGAATAGGGAAATCTATAGAGACAAAAAAAATAGATTCGTGGTTTCCAGAGTCTGGGGTGGTAGAGGAGGATGGGAGGTGATAACTAAAGGATATGGGGTTCTTCATGAGTGATGAAAATTTCTAAAACTGACTGTGGTGATGGTTGCACCTGTCTAGGAATATACCAAAAACGATTGAATTGTACACTTTAAATGAATTGTACGGCGTATTAATTATATTTCAGTAAACCTGCTTTATAAAGAGCCTCAAAAATACAGTGTTGTCATGTCTGGCTGGGATGGCTGGAACTGAGGATTATGTCCACACAAAGAGAAAGGCAGCATCAAGGCTGACCTGAGAAGAGGCACGGAACCCTGGCAGTACCAAGGGTTTTTTTTTTTATGTGACATGATGAATTGTTTCCTGCTTTTTTTTTTTTTTAAGAGATGAGGGTCTTGCTATGTTGCCCGGCTGACCTTGAACTCCTGAGGTCAAGCAGTCTTTCTGCCTCCATCTCCCAAGTAGCTGGGACGACAGGGGTGCACCACCAGGCCTGGCAATATGATGAGTTGTTGAAGCCAGCTTGCATTGTTTTTGTTGTTGATGTTGTTTGCAAACAACTAAATGTTTTGTGTAAAAGGGAGTTTAATATAGGGAGTTAGCTGCTTACAAAACCTTTGGAAGTGCTGGGTGATCAAGCTCTAAGCTGAATCCCCAGGAATGATTGCTAGAACACTGCAAAACTGACCAATGAAGCTACTACTTCTGTCCCCTATCAGGAAAGTGGGGACGTAGGAGACCACTACTGTCACACTCAAGAACACAGCGCTTTATTTGTGACTCCAGGTTAGAAAGCCATTGCCAAACCACCACAAGCTGCCTATCAGCTACACCCAATGAAGCTGGTGAATGAAGATGGAGTACTACTTCAGAAACTGTATCCATCTCCTAGACCTTATTTGCTAGAAGGAAACAGTCAAAGCAGCAGGAAGATTATATTTATTTGACTTCTACCTTCCAGATGTCTCTCACTTAATGATCAACTTCTTTGTTCTTGAGTCCTACTTCTGTCTCAGATCTTCTATCTGGAAGCATTTTGCCTTCTGCCTGATATGTATTCTTTATAATTTTCTGAACATCTGCTTGTGAAGACTTTTCAGTTTTGGTTTGCTTAAAATTATCTTTGTTTTGCCCTTATTCTTGAAAGATTATTTTCTTTCTGGACATAAAGGATAGACAGGTAGTTATTTTATCTTAGCAAATGAATATTGTCATCCTTAGGGATCTATTGGCTGCAGGCACTTCTGATACTAAATGGTGAAGGTTCAGTACAAGAAATAGAAGCCAGCAGAAAAGGAATTTGATACAGGGAAATAGGTAGTAAAAATCATTCCGTACACTGAAAAATGATCTCTGTTTGGACCTCCGGGAAAGACTATCTGAACACCAGAAGTAACTCCACAGAGGAGCTACCACTTCTGTGACAGTCAGGCTAGTGTAAAGCCACCCATAGAACTTAGCTGGGTTTTGTAACACAGCACTGTGGCACCATAACTGCAGTTGTGTCCTCCATTCCCACAAAACGGGACTGGATAGTGGAGAGCTGATGCAGGAAAACTCCGTGTTTTCAACAATCTTGTTTTCCAGGAGAAAACAAAGAAAACTGCAAAAAATTTGGCCTGTCTCACATCTGCTTTCTAAATTCTGAAAGCCTAGTTCGTGTAACCCAGCTTCAAGACTATCTATAAAATGTAACTTTTTGTTTCCTACCCTTCACACCCTAGAAGGAGACAGGAAGAGTAGAAAGGATCCCTCCTGTCCAATGGCATGCAATGTAGGGGCCTGAAGTGGCCAACGGTTTTGACAGTGGGGAAGCTGAGGAGGCAGGATCCCCCTCTCTAAAAATATTGAAATTAAAAAGGGAGGAGTGCAGAAGATTTGAGGATTCCTGTGAAGGAAGGAGGAGAGAGAAGTAGTAGCAGAAAGAGGGGACATACAGTTTCAAGATAATTTTAGTTGATTGTTTTTCTAAGAATGGTGGAGAATCAAATGTGTTTATCTGCAGAAGGGAAGGTGTCAATCAAAGAGAACAGAGGGAGAGGGTAGATGCTTGATGAAAGGAGAACTTGCAGATGGTGGAAGGGGGTGTTCATGGTATAAGAAAGATGGTCATATTTTGCTAAGTGATATAAGCATATTTTAAAGCAAGCATTGTATGATCCCCTTCCATTTACAAATACATAATAGATACATTGAAAATACTCACGGAATTGTCAGACATCCCTTACAGAGACAAAACTCAATTTTAATATTGCAAAGCTACACTATTGAGATGGAGCAGCCCCAGCCAATGGCACAGGCGTGGGCAGGGTGTGTAGTAACTGGATAAGAGTGGCACAGGCGTGGGCAGGGTGTGTAGAGCAGGATAAGAGTGGGAGAGGGTGAGATACAAACAACAGACTCATAATTTAAATATTATTATTATTTTGTTTTGAGACGGAGTCTTGCTCTGTCGCCCAGGCTGGAGTGTAGTGGTGAGATCTCAGCTCACTGCAACCTCCTCCTCCCAGGTTCAAGCGATTCTCTGCCTCAGCCTCCCAAGTAGCTGGGACTACAGGCATGTGCCACCACATCCGTCTAATTTTTTTGTATTTTTAGTAGAGACGGGTTTCACCATCTTGGCCAGGCTGGTCTTGAACTCATGACCTCGTGATCCACCCACCTTGGCTTCCCAAAGTGCTGTGAGCCACCACACTTGGCCAGCAGACCCATACTATTGAAGGCCACATGCCCATGAGACTGGCTTGCTCCATAGCTGAAGTCATGATGCCAACTTTCCCACCCTCCCATACACTGAGGAACAGGCTGTCATCAGTTCTTTTGGAGCTCAGCTCAGAGACCTCAGCATAGAGACCTCTATCCCCACTCACCCTCAACAGATGCCTTCAACAGTTGTGGAGACATAAAGTTCCCCCATAGTAGTCTTGAGACACATCCTTAAAAATCACTGATGTGATTGCAACACAGTCCCCTCATGTTTCCTGCCCTCTTCCCTTAAATCATGACCAGAAGGATCTGCTGACTAAGGCTGTCCCTTAAATATATGACTTCCTTGAAAATAACTTGACACAGCTTAAACTAACTTAGCTGTTCTCAATTCCTGTCTTCTCTTTCAACATGACTATTTCTTATGCCAACATTATGCCAAACTGTAGATATGTATGAATAAGCAGAACTATAATCCTATATTTTCCAAGTAAAATCATATATCAAAATGTTAACGGTGTTTTTTGCGTGTCAGGAACTGCATGTAATTTCCATTTCCCCTTTTGACTTATTGCACTTTTTACTCTTTCTACAACAATCTTGTATTATGTTTATGAAAAGCAAAAATAATAATAATAAAGGTTGTTAAACAGGACGCAAGTGGAAAGTTGTCCTTGAATTATAAAAGGACTAAAGTGCTGAAAATAACTAAAATGCTGAATAAAATAGTATTTAAGCTGAATAAAACATAAGTCATACTTAGGCATGAAGACAGAGACTTAGAGAGGCACGCAAGGCACCAGAGCCAGATTTGGACTTGACACCTAGAAAACTGTGAATTTGAGAGCCTCCTTGGCTTCCTCATTATCCAAACCACTGGCCACGTCAGGTCCCTCCATTGCATGCCATTTAACAGCAGGGACCCCTTTCACTATTTCTGTCTCCTTCTAGGGTGTCTTACTGTACTGTAAAGGCTGGGAAACAAAAAGCTTTTTTTGTAGATATCCTCAAAGTTGGTTTATGCAAATTAGGGTTTCAGGACTTGGTAGCTTCTCAGGACTAGCAGGACAGAAGATAAAGCCTACTGCCCACCAAGAGAGAAGTCTAACAGGGGACTCCCCCAAAACTGTGACGCTAGAGGGCCACGTTCCAGTATAAAGGTGGCCTAAGAAATAAATTCTTCCATCCTTACAGGACTGAAAGGAAAACTGCCCTTGTTGGATCTTGATGCTTATCGGATTGAGCTGGGGGTGAGGTACCTCCCTTCAGAATTTGTAACCGAGCCCGCCCTCACGAATTTACCTGACCAGGAACTATCCCCCTTCCTAAAAGATAAAACACACACACACACACACACACACACACACACACACACACACCTGGAGCAAAAAAAGTGAATATATGTATATAGATACACACATAAACAGGGCACTACGAGTGAGTTCCAGCAGAAACAAGACAGCAGATTCAGACCCAGATTTTGGATGCCGGAGTTATCAAACCCAATAAGTATATTTGATATCATTTAATAAAAGAGTCTTGAAAATATCACAAAAGAGCAAGCAGATAATGACTTGCTAGCTCTCCCCGTGACACACGTTCACATCGGGCTTGAGGTGTCGGCGGCGGCTGGGACTCCGACTCCTGGGTCGAGAATGCGTTCTCCATGGAAGACCCGGTGCGGAAGGTTGGGGGCGGCGGTACTGCCGGTGGGGACCACTGGGAAGGCGAGGACGAGGATGAGAACGTCAAAGATAACTGGGATGACGATGATGATTTAAAAAAAAAAAAAAAAAAAGGAGGAAGGAGAAGTAAAACCAGAGGTAAAAATTTCAGAAAAGAAAAAAATAGCAGAAAAGATAAAAGAGAAAGAACAGCAACAGAAGAAAAGGCAAGAAGAAATTAAAAAGAAGTTAGCTGAAGAACCTGAAGTGCTAACACCAGAAGAACAATTAGCAGATAAACTGCCGCTAAAGAAATTACAGGAAGAGTCCGACCTCGAATTAGCAAAGGAAACTTTTGGTGTTAATAATACAGTTTATGGAATAGATGCTATGAACCCATCTTCAAGAGATGGCTTTACAGAGTTTGGAAAGTTACTAAGAGATAAAATTACACAATATGAAAAGTCACTGTATTATGCCAGTTTTTTGGAAGTCTTAGTTTGAGATGTGTGTATTTCATTGGAAACTGATGATTTGAAAAAGATTATCAATTCACTGACTGCTTTGCAGTGAAAAACAGAAGCAAGAAAAGCAAAGCAAAGCCAATAAGAAGAAAGGCGTGGTTTCTGGAGGGGGATTAAAAGCCACCATGAAAGACGATCTGGCAGATTATGGTGGTTACTATGGAGGATATGTACTACAAGACTATGAAGACTTCATGTAACTTTTTTTTTTTTTTGAGACGGAGTTTCCCTCTTGTTACCCAGGCTGGAGTGCAATGGCGCAATCTCGGCATCTCGGCTCACCGCAACCTCCGCCTCCTGGGTTCAGGCAATTCTCCTGCCTCAGCCTCCTGAGTAGCTGGGATTACAGGCGCACGCCACCATGCCCGGCTAATTTTTTTTATTAGTAGAGACGGGGTTTCACCATGTTGACCAGGATGGTCTCGATCCGTTGACGTGATCCACCCGCCTCGGCCTCCCAAAGTGCTGGGATTACAGGCTTGAGCCACCGCGCCCGGCCCTCATGTGACATTTTTATCTTCTCCTGGTGTCATCTTTATGTTGCCCACAGTCCCTTGAACATGTAGCACAACTTCCTTTCCTTTCAGTTCTGCCAAATGCTACAAGGAGAAGTGCAGTACCTTTTGTGCTGATTATTTAACCCCTTGACACTTAGGTGCTAATGTGCAAATAAGGGAACTTGGATTTTGCTGCCAAGGGGTTAAAATTGGGAACTTCAGTTGCTACTAAATCACAGTTCAAAACAAACCTAATAATGTTGTCATTGTTGCTATCTGATTTCATAGCAGCAGTCACTAAATTGGAAAAAGGTTGCAACATGACAAAAAAAATTGTGTAGTATTTACCAGCACCATTCGGTAATACAGCCTTAACCATACTTCCTTAAACTACTTCATAACTTGCCAAGAAAGGCAGTTTGCAGCAAGGGCATGTGGTGTGCACCTAGTATTAAAAATGCTTTGTCTTAAAATTGAGGATGAGGATATTAAAAACACATTGTGAAGAAGACTGCTTATCTCAGAGTGAAGATACTGCGGCTGAAAAGCACTAGTTTGATATAAAATTTAAATGACCAAAACCCTCCAACTTTGAAGCTAAAGAAGGTAAACCTCTCCATAATTGCATTACATGTTGTGGAATCTCTTGAGTGCAAAGACATCTAGGTATTTATCAGGCTATTTCTACTGATGAAGTGCTTCAGATGGGAGAGGGAAACTCTTTACCTGTTTTTATTTGCCTGATTTAAATGTCTGAGAAACAATCTTCGTTCTCTTAGGCTGCAATGGAACAACTTTACCAGGGTTTTGGTATTTCCTTTCCTTTATAAAACATGCTCAGCAAACTGCACCAGTTAACTACAGTTTGGTAAATTGTTAACAATTATGACATCTGCAATGTTTTATAAAGCAATTAATTTAATAAAATCACTATTGTGAGGGAAAAAAGATCAAGCAGATATAAAAAAATCAATTTATAGAAATGAAAAATATAACAACTGAAATTTAAACCTCAATACACAGGTTTAATATCTAGATACAGCTGAAAGGATGACTAGAGACATGAAAGACAGAACAGAACTTATCTGACATACAGCCAAGAGAGATAAAGATATGGAAAATATGAAATAGAACTTAAAGAGACATGGAAGACAGACTGAGGTCTATGATATATTCTGGCTGTGTCTTCACTCAAATCTCATCTTGAACTGTAGCTCCCATAATTCCCACATGTTGTGCGAGGGACCTCATGGGAGATAATTGAGTCATGGGGGTGGTTCCCCCATACTGTTCTTGTGGTAGTAAGTCTCACGAGATCTGATGGTTTTATAAGGGGAAACCCCTTTTGCTTCGTTCTCATTCGCTTTTTGCCCGCTGCCATGTAAGATGTGCCTTTGCCTTCCACCATGATTGTGATGCCTCCCCAGCCACATGGAACTGTGAGTCCATTAAACCTCTTTTCCTTTATAAATTATCCAGTCTTGGGTATGTCTTTATCAGCAGCATACAGTCTAATGGAGGATTACTTTCTATAAATGACAAAGAGTCCTAATCCACAGGTTCAAGAAGCCAAAAAATGTTCAACTATAATAAGTAAAAAAAAAATGTGCACTCAGAATTTAATAATGAAGACACATAATATAGTATACTAAATATTAAAATATTAAATAATATATGGTATGTTGTAGCATATTGGAAACAGTATCTCTTCCAAACTGATAGAGAGAAAAGAGAATAAATATCAATCCAAAAGAAGGCAAGAAAGGACAAAAAAATTATTGAAAAAACAAGAAAAGAAAACAAAATAGGATGGTAGAAATAAATATATCACTAATAACAGTAAATTGTCTGGGCACAGTGGCTCATACCTGTAATCCCAACATTTTGAGAGGCTGAGATGGGCACATCACCTGAGGTCAGGAGTTCAAGACCAGCATGGCTAACATGGCAAAACCTAATTTCTACAAAAAATATCAGAATTAGCCAGTCATGGTGGTTTGCACCTATAGTCCAAACTACTTGGGAGGCTGAGGCAGGAGAATTGCTTGAACCTAGGACGCAGAGGTTGCAGTGAGCTGAGATCACGCCACTGCACTCCAGCCTGGGCAAGACAGTGAGACTCTATCTCAAAAAGAAAAAAAGAAAAGGGGGGAAAAGTATGTAACAGGTAAATACTAAATTTCTGAAAAGTGTACCAGGTAAATACTAAATTTCTGAAAAGTGTGTATACCTACATTAATATCAGACAAAATATATTTTAAGACAAAATAGTACTAGAGATTAAAAGGTAACTATATAATGATAAGATATTCAATTTTCCAATAAGGTATAACAGTTATAAACTTCTACAACTATAATAATATAGCTTCAAAAATAAACTAAAATTGACAGAATCATAAGGAAAATTAGGCAAGTCAACTATTTCATGAGCTAGTTCAACACATTTCTGTGATTGATAAAATAAGCAGTAAAAAAATCAATAAATTAAGAATATAAAAGATTTGGGCGAGGCATGGTGGTTCATGCTTGTAATTTCAGCACTTTGGGAGGCCAAGGTGGGAGAACTGCTAACCCAGGAGGTCAAGACCAGCCTGGGCAACATAGCAAGATCTTGTCTCTACAAAAAATTTTAAAATTAACCAAGCTTGGTGGTGCATGCCTGTCTTCCTAGCTACTCAGGAGGCTGAGGTCAGAGGATTGCTTGAGCCCAGGGTCGAGGCTGCAGTGAGCCACGATCATGCCACTGCACTCCAGTGTAGACAACACAGTGAGACCCTGTCTCAAAAAAAAAAATTTCAACAACACAACTAATAGGCTTGATCTAATGACAATATATGGAACTCCTCATTTAGTAAGTACAGAATATATAGTGTTTTCAAGCATCCACGGAATATCTACAAAAATGACCATTAAAGGCAGGGTGCAGTGGCTCAAGCCTGTAATTCCAGCACTTTGGGAGGCCGAGGCGGGTGGATCACGAGGTCAAGAGATCGAGACCATCCTGGGCAACATGGTGAAACCCCGGCTCTACTAAAAATACAAAAAATTAGCTGAGCATGGTGGTGTGAGCCTGTAATTCCAGCTACTCAGGAGGGTGAGGCAGAAGAATTGCCTGAACCCAGGAGGCAGAGGTTGTGGTGAGCCGAGATTGCACCATTGCCCTCCAGCCTGGGTAACAAGAGCGAAACTCTGTCTCAAAATAAAATAAAATAAAAAAAGACCATTAAATATTAAATCCTGGCTGGGCATGGTGGCTCATGCCTTTAATCCCAACACTTTGAGAGGCCGAGGCAGGTGGATCACGAGGTCAGGAGTTCAAGAACAGCCTGGCCAACATGGTGAAACCCCATCTCTGTTAAAAATACAAAAATTAGCTGGGCATAGTGGCACGTGCCTGTAATCCCAGCTACTCAGGAGGCTGAGGCAGGAGAATTACTTGAACCAGGACCCAGGAGGCTGAGGTTGCAGTGAGCCGAGGTCGTGCCACTGCACACCCTCTAGCCCGGGCTACAGAGCTAGACTCCGTCTCAAAAAAAAAAAAAAAAAATTAAATCCTTCAGCTGGGTGCGGTGGCTCACGCCTGTAATCCCAGCACTTTGGGAGGCCAAGGTGGGTGAATCACGAGGTCAGGAGATCGAGACCATCCTGCCAACATGGTGAAACCCCATTTCTACTAAAAATACAAAAAAGTAGCTGGGTGTGGTGGTGCACACCTGTAGTCCCAGCTGCTCGGGAGGCTGATGAAGGAGAATTGGTTGAACCTGGGAGGCAGAGATTGCAGTGAGCTGAGATTGTGCCACTGCACTCCAGCCAGCAACAGAGCAAGACTCCATCTCAAAAAATAAAAAAAAATTAAATCCTTCAACCATAAGACATTGGTGATTGGTGGAAGAAGAAATTACAATGGCAATCAGAAATATTTAAAACCAAAAGTTGATGAAATTATTACATCGCAACACTTGTGGCATGCAGTTAATACTGTATTTGGAGAAAAATGTGTAGCCTTGAATACTTCTCATAGAAAATAAGGTTCAAAATTAATGAGCTGTGTTCATATCAAAAGATTTTAAATAAAACAATAAAATAATCCCCAAAAAGAGTAAAAGGAAAAAAAAATAAAGATGAGCAAAGAAATTAAAAACAGCCAAAAGTTGATGTTTTGAAAAGATTCGCAAAATCAACAAAATTCTGGTGAGGATTGTAAAGAAAAAAAAGAGAATGTACAAGTAACCAATATTAGGAATAAACATGAATCAAGAATATAAGCTCCAGTATAAACATGCAGTTAGAAGATTAAAGTTCTAATGTTTGATGGCAGAGTAGGGTAACTACAGTTAACAATTTTTTAAAATATTGATTGATTGAGACAGAATCTTGTTCTGTCCCCCAGGCTGGAGTTCAGTGGTGTGATCTCAGCTCAGTGCAACCTCCACCTCCTGGGTTCAAGCGACTCTCATGTCTCAGCCACCCGAGTAGCTGGGATTACAGGTGTCCACCATCACACCTGGCTAATTTTTGTATTTTTTTGGTAGAGACGGGTTTTTGCCATGTTGGCCAGGCTGGTCTCAAACTCCTGACCGCAGGCAATCTGCCTGCCTTGGCCTCCCAAAGTGCTGAGATTCCAGGTGTGAGCCACCGCACCTGGCTTTTTTTTTTTTTTTTTTCTTTTCTTTTTGACAGGGTCTTGCTCTGTCACTCAGGCTGAAGTGCAGTAAAGTGATCATAGCCCACCACAGCCTCGAATTCCTGGGTTCAAGTGATCTTCTTGTCTCAGCCTCCTGATTAGCTGGGACTACCAGTGCACACCACTGTGTCCAACTATTTTTTTTTTGTAGAAATGGGGTCTCACTTTGCTGCCCAGGCTGGTCCGAATTCTTGATTTCAAGTGATCCTTTAACCTCAGCCTCCCAAAGTTCTGGGATTACAGGTGTGAGCCACCTGACAGTGTGAACTCTCAGATGTAAACCTGAGAGAAAGAACTATTTAAGATCAGAGTTTAAAATATCAAGAAGTCAGGGAACATCACTATTTCTGGAGAAGTGACAAGCAGGTTGTCAAACTTGCTTTCCTGTTCAGCAGCGATGCTCCTGACTTACAGATCCAGCATGCAATGGGCTCAGATTGTCACTGCTCTTTGAGTTACATAGCAAAACTTGTGGGATTCAGTTAATACTATATTTGAGGTGAGGGAGTTAGAATTCTCGTCAAATGGAGTTACAAATGTTCCCGTCACCTTCCAAAAGGCAGGTTCCAGGGTGTGTGAAAGTTGGAGGGAGTAACTGGAAACAATGGGGTTGAGTGTAATTTTTGCAGGGAAACGGGTGGAATCCATTGAGTTTCCCAAGTTTTCAGAAATGCAAGAAAGAGCCTGCCATGCTGGCCTGTGGATAGGAGCTGGTGATCAGGATGGGGCTGCAAGACCCAGATTTGCTGGGTACCCTAATCCTACTTGCAAATGTCACATTGAGCAAATGTCATATTTAGACCCTGTACAAGCCAGGGCTTTCCAGAGACACAGAAACAATCAGGAATTGGCTTTCTCATTTACTATGAAAACTGGTTCATGCAATCATGGGGCTGGTGAAGTCCTGCAATCTGACACCTGCAAGCTGGAGAATCAGGAAAGCTTGTGGTTTGATTCTGTCTGAGTCAGAAGTCTTAGAAACAGAGGAGTCTACAGTGTAACTCCCAGTTCTATTTAAGGACGGAGAACCTGATTCAGGGAGGTGAGTTGGGGGTCACTGGTGTGAGATCTGGAGTCTGAAAGTCCCCAAACCAGGAGCACTAATGTCTGAGGGCAGGAGAAGATGGCTGTCCCAGCTGAAGAGGGTGCAAATTCAACCTTCCTCCACTTCTTTGTTTTATTCAGACCCTCCAAGGATTGATCATGCCCACCTGCATTGGTGCAGATGATGATCTTAGTCTATCAATTCAAAGATTAATCTCTTCCTGAAATGTCCTTATAGACACGGCTAGAAATAATGTTTCACCAGCTATCTGGGTATCCCTTAGCCCAGTCAAGTTGACACAAAAAATTAACCACCAGACTCCTTAGCAAATATGAGCAGCAAGTAACCAAGTTACTCCACAGAGGCCTCCGTTTCCCAACATCTGTAAAATCGGGATACTAAGACCCACTGCTCCAGACTGTGGAAAGGATTAAATGAAATGCGCATGTCAGGTGCCTGGCAGTTAGTGGGCATTCAGTGTAAAGTCGCTATTATTATTATTGTCATTTTTATTAAATGCAGATCCATTTGGAGTTTGTTCAGACAGTTGAACGTATTATAATTTATATCATGATAACCAACAAGTGCTATCCTCAACAGATGCAGATCTGTGGATCCAACGTAGCATCTGTAGCAGCTGGGACATTATTCCAGGTTTTGGGTGCGGTAATCGGATCTGAAGATGGCAGTCAGGGTGCTTTGGGGTGGCCTCAGCCTGCTCCGAGTGCTGTGGTGTCTCCTTCCGCAGACGGGCTATGTGCACCCAGATGAGTTCTTCCAGTCACCTGAGGTCATGGCAGGTAAAATTCTCCGCATGTGTGGCTGAGACAAGTTGCAGCAGAGTCTGGTTGAGAAGCTGATGGGAGATTTTGTGGGGAGGGAGTGGCATGTCCGTGCAGATGAGTAGCAAATCCACAAGCAGAGAAGCAGCCTCTCTGGGGTAAGAACTTGGAAGTGGGGACTTCATGTCTCCTTCCTGAATGGTGACACTGACCTTCTGGGTAATGCTAATAAACCACCAGTCTCTTGGATGTATCCCTGCTTGGACCAACACTACAGATCATTCAGAATGAAAGCTGTGTTGAACTTCCCAGTGGAACACTTTTAGAGTTGGACTTCCCCAGTGTTTGGCACGAGCTTACACAGGCTGTGATCTGAGATAATGAAACCTCTCTCCTGCAGATTCAAGTGAGGGGTAAGCGAACCCAGACCTGGGACACTCACTTATCTGTTAGGTGGTATAGGACACATCATGAGGATATTTGCCTTGCCCATGCCATCCTGCCCAAAGGCCTTGAGGCCTCTCAGATGTTATGAACATGTGGCTTCATCCTCATGGCTCGAGATGGCTGCTTGAGCTCCAGCCATCAAGTAAGTTTTCAACCAGTCTTTCCAGCCGACAAAGGAGAAAGGCATTTCTTCTCTCTTTAAGGTCATATTTTGAAGGTTGCATGCTTTTCACCCATTTCCATCACACTGAACATAATGTATCATGAGACCACACTTAGCTGCAAAGGAAGCTAAAAAATATAGTCTTTATATCTGACCAAGTGCCCAGCTAAAGAGTCTAAGGAGCCAGGTGCGGTGGCTCACACCTGTAATCCCAGCATTTTGGGAGGCCAAGGTGGGTGGATCACCTGAGGTCAGGAGTTTGAGACCAGCTTGGCCGGCAGGATGAAACCCCATATTTACTAAAAATACAAAAAAGTACCTGGGCATGGCGGCAGGCAGCTGTAATCCCAGCTGCTTGGGAGGCTGAGGCAGGAGAATCGCTTAAACCCTGGAGGCAGAGGTTGCAATGAGCCGAGATGGTGCCACTGCACTCCAGCCTGAGCAACAGAGTGAGACTCCGTCTCAAAAAAAAAAAAAAGTCTAAGGAAGGAGGAGGGAATAGTTATAGATATTGGGGAAGCACCAGCTTTCTTTGCCATAGGGCTCAACAGGTGAATTTGTTTTTTAAGTTAAAAGGTTCATCTTCTTTCCCACACATTTTTTTTTAAACCAGAAAAGCAGCCAGATTGATTTGATCCTGGATCTTGCTTTCCGTTCACTGTCTAATGTAGAGAGATAAAACAGCCGAAAGGCTGGAGAAATAAGTAGCAGAATCAAAGAGCCCAAATGATCCCCAGGCTGTCTAGTCAGCTCTAGACAACCAGCAGGTGATCAAGCGAGAGAGGCTGTGAGCGATGAAGCTTGGAGAGAAGCTGCTCCCTCACACCCACCCGTCAGAGCTCTGGAACACTGGGCACAGGGTTACAGACCAGGAAGCAAGTATTTCTTAAATTATATAAGTACTACTTGGATATATTCTTCTTATTAAAAAAATTAGGCTGGGTGTGGTGGCTCACGCCTGTAATCCCAGCACTTAGGAGGCCGAGGTGGGCAGATCCTGAGGTCAGGAGATCGAGACCATCCTAGCTAACACAGTGAAACCTTTCTCTACTAAAAATACAAAAAATTAGCTGGGCATGGTACCACGTGCCTGTAGTCTCAGCTACTTGAGAGGCTGAGGCAGGAGAATCGCTTGAACCTGGGAGGTGGAGGTTGCAGTGAGCCAAGACTGCGATACTGCACTCCAGCCAGAACAGACAGGGTGAGACTCCGTCTCAAAAATAAAAAAGGCTGGGCGTGGTGGCTCACGCCTGTAATCCTAGCACTTTGGGAAGCTAAGGCGGGCAGATTGCCTGAGGTCAGGAGTTTGAGACCAGTTTGGCCAACATGGTGAAACTCTGTCTCTACTAAAAGTACAAAAAAATTGGTGGGGTGAGGTGGCGGGTGCCTGTAGTCCCAGCTACTCTGGAGGCTGAGGCAGGAGAACTTCGAGGTGGAGGTTGCAGTGAGCAGAGATCTCGCCCCTGTACTCCAGCCTGGGTGACAGAGAGAGACTCCGTTTAAAAAAAAAAAGAAAAAAATTTTGGGCCAAGCACGGTGGCTCACACCTGTAATCCCAGCATTTTGGGAGGCCGAGGTGGGTGGATCACAAGGTCAGAAGTTCAAGACTAGCCTGGTCAATATGGTGAAACCCCTTCTCTACTGAAAATACAAAAATTAGCTAGGAGTGGTGGCATGTGCCTGTAGTCCCAGCTACTTGGGAGGCTGAAGCAGAAGAACTGCTTGAAGCCAGAGGCAGAGTTTGCAGTGAGCTGAGATCACACCACTGCACTCCAGCCTGGCGACAGAGCACGACTCCATCTCAAAAAAAAAATTTAAGTATCATAACAAAACTAAACATAAATCACCTTTGACACAACCCTGAGGGCTCATCCCACCCCTATTTTCTCCCCCATCTCCTGATAACAATCATTATCAGAGATGGGGTTTTGAGTCTGACCTTTGAGATCTTGGAACCCCGAGAAGAGGTTGGTTAAGCCTCCCCCTACCTGTACACTTCCCACACACTCTTCCCAGGACACACTGCTCCTTCTCCCAGGAAAGTTTCTCCTGCCCTCTGCACTCTAAGCTCCCCTGCACTTGTTTCTGCTGCTGCGTGATGAATCATCAAAAACCTAGCAGCTTAAAACTGCACCCATTTGTGAGTTCTGCACCTATTTGTGAGTTCACAGTTCTGTTAATCAGAAGGGCAGCATGGGCTCTCTGCTCACAAGGTGGACATCAGCGTATGGTTTGGGCTGAGTTCTTGTCTGGAAGCTCTCTAATGCCAGCAGAATCTAATTGATTTCAGCTGTGGAACTCCGGTGTGGTTTCCTTGCTCTTAACTTTCAGAGGCCACTCACATTCCTAGCCAATGGCCCCTTCCATCTTTAAGCCAGCAGTGGCATGTCAAATCCTTCTCATGCTTTGAATCTGACTGCCCCTTCTGCATCCAGATGGTAAAAAGTCTGTTATTAAAGAACTGGTGTGATTAGGTCTGGCCCACCCCATAGTCTCCCTATTTTACACTCAGTGCCCCTGTATAACATAACCTAATCACAGGAGTACAGTCCGTCCTGTGGGCCAGGTGCAGTGGCTCAAACCTGTAATCCCAGCACGCTAGGAGGCTGAGGAGGGAGAATGGCTTGAAGCCAGGAGTCTGAGATCAGCCTGAGTAACATAGCAAGATCTATGATCTTACCACTGTACTCCAGCCTGGGTGACAGACAGCCTATCAGGAAGTGGGGAAGGGAGGGAGGGAGGGATTCATTCTGTGCACAGTCCCAGGGTTTAGGCTGGGCAGGCACACCAAAAGGTGGAAAATGTTGGGTGCCATCCTCGAATTTTGCCCACTACATCCTGAGCTTGGTACTGGCTCACCTCTGCCTCTCTCTCTCTCTGCAGAGGACATCCTAGGCATTCAGGCCACCCGGCCCTGGGAGTTTTACCCCAGCAGCTCCTGCCGCACAGTGGTCTTCCCCCTACTGATCTCTGGCTCTACCTTCTGGCTGCTCAGGCTCTGGGAAGAGCTAGGCCTGTGGCCTGGCCTGGTGAGTGGCTATGTGCTGCTAGTGGGGCCCCGACTCCTCCTCACTGCCCTCTCCTTTGCCCTGGATGGGGCGGTATACCACCTGGCCCCGCTGTGGGGGGCAGATCGCTGGAACGCCCTGGTCCTGCTGTCTGGTTCCTACGTCACCCTGGTATTCTACACAAGGACCTTCTCCAACACCATCGAGGGACTGCTCTTGGCGTGGCTGCTGGTGCTGGTATCCTCCCATGTTATGTGGGGCCCCACACCCAAGGAGCCTGCGCTGGATTCATGGTGGCACAGCTGGCTTCTTGGAGCCATCATGGCTGCTGGCTTCTTCAACCGGCCCACCTTTCTGGCCTTTGCTGTGGTCCCACTCTACCTCTGGGGCACTCGTGGAGCCACAAACCCTGGCTTGAAGTCCCTGACCCGAGAGGCTCTGCTGCTGCTGCCAGGGGCGGTCCTCACAGCAGCGGTGTTCGTGGCTATGGACAGCTGGTATTTCTCCAGCCCCACTACATCCAGTACCCTTGTCCTTACACCCGTCAACTTCTTACACTACAACCTGAATCCCCAAAACCTGGCAAGGCATGGCACACATGTGCGGCTCACTCACCTGGCAGTCAACGGCTTCCTGCTCTTTGGGATGTTGCATGCCCATGCCCTGCAAGCTGCGTGGCAGCAGCTGCAAGTCTGCCTTCAGACCTGTGCACAAAGGAGCCTTCTGAGGGCGCAGCGTGCCCGGAGTCTGCTGTCCAGCGCCAGGTCGTATCTCCTTTTCCTCTACTTCACACCCCTGGCCCTGCTGTCTGCCTTTAACCACCAGGAGGCTCGGTTCCTGATTCCCCTCCTGGTCCCCCTAGTCCTGCTTTGTAGTCCACAGACCCAACCTGTGCCTTGGAAGGGTACCATGGTCCTCTTCAATGCCCTCGGTGCCTTCTTCTTTGGCTGCCTACATCAGGGGGGCCTGGTGCCCGGCCTGGAGTACCTGGAGCAGGTGGTCCACGCCCCTGTGCTCCCAAGCGTGCCTACCCACTACACACTCCTCTTCACCCACACTTACATGCCTCCACGGCACCTCCTACACCTCCCAGGCCTGGGTGCACCAGTGGAGGTGGTGGACATGGGTGGGACTGAGGACCGTGTCCTGTGCCAAGCCCTGAAAAGCTTTACCAGACAACCAGCCTGCCAAGTGGCCGGCGGGCCGTGGTTCTGCCGCCTCTTTGTGGTGACCCCTGGCACCACCAGGCATGCCGTGGAGAAGTGCAGCTTTCTTCTCAAGAATGAGACTCTTTTATTTCCCCATCTGACCCTGGAGGATCCACCAGCCCTGTCCTCCTTGCTGAGTGGGTCTTGGAGGGACCAGCTCAGTCTTCACATCATGGAGCTGGGGGAAGAAACCTGACAACATGGCAGAGCAACCGCTGCCCAAGGTCCAGCTGTAGAAGATGCCGCTCCACCTTCTACTTGGGTAGCTGGGCTGGGACGCTGGGACAGAACCCTGGTTCTCCTTCACAACTCCCACTGCTGCCTTTCCTGAACACGGCCCTTGGCTGTTCTGCCTTCTGGGTGAGCTGGCACTCTTCTGCCTGAGACCAAAGATCTGTCAGTCTTGATGTCAAGGTCCCCAAAGAACCTGGTGTAAGCGATGGCACCTGTTTCTGCCCTATTGCTTCCAGCCACTGTGATGTCCAAAATATATAATAGCACCTGGTTGTAAAAAAACAATGAACTGCTAGTGACCTTCCTGAATTACCGCTCCCAAACTTTCCATGATGCCTTACCTCTTGCTGTCATAACAACCCTCTGGCTTCCTAAGACTGATCTGGTTATCCAAATACGTGGAAGTCAGTGTGATGAAGTATAGAGAACGGATGGACCAGTTCCAGGGGACCCAAGCGCTAGTCCCTTGATCTGTTACTCACTGTGAGTGGAAGAGAAAGCTACTTCCACTCACCTGCCCCACTTCCAAATATGTTGATCCACATCAGAGGATCTTTGCCAGCTAACATTGTGTCATTCCTGGAGACCACAGGCACATCTTTCACAAAGCTCTTTAAGCACGGAAGTGGGGCTGTGTTGTACTTCATGGCACCCGGATGCCTGCTGTCTCAGTGTTTGGTTATTATGCAAACAAGTGATGTTTGAAATATATAATAGCACCTAGAGATTTTCTCCCTGCTTTCTTCTACTCCTGTTCCTGAGAGGTGGTGGGAAACTCTCCAGTCATTTCTGCACCTTGCCCTTAAGAGTCATTCTCTTGGCCGGGCGCAGTGACTCACACCCGTAATCCCAGCAGTTTGGGAGGCTGAGGTGGCCAGATCATGAGGTCAGGAGTTTGAGACTAGCCTGGCCAACATGGTGAAACCCCATCTCTACTAAAAATACAACAATTAGTTGAGTGTGGTGGCAGGCACCTTTAATCCCAGCTGCTTGAAAGGCTGAGATAGAACTGCTTGAACTCGGGAGGCAGAGGTTGCAGTGAGTCAAGATCGTGCCACTGCACTCCAGCCTGGGTGACAGAGCAAGACTCCATTGCGGTGGGGGCGCGGAATCATTCTCCTAGAAAGCAGAGAACATACAATGCTCAGCCAGCATCTGGTTACCAGCTAATATTTTTCCTATGGCTTCAAGTTTTCTAGATTGCATGATTACATGATTGTGTTGCCTAATTAGAAATAATCAGAGTCGGGTGTGGTGGCTCACACCAGTAATCCCAGCACTTTGACAGGCTGAAGTGGGAGGACTGCTTGAGGCCAGGAGTTTAAGACCAGCCTGGGCAACAAACTGCAATGCCATTTCAACAACAATGTTTTTAATTAGCTGGACATGGTGTCATGGGCCTGTAATCCCAGCTACCTTGGAGGACCAGGGAGGAAGACTGCTTGGCCCACAGGTCGAGGTCACAGTGACAGCTACGATTGTGCTACTGCACTCCAGCCTGGGCAACAGAGTTAGGCCCTGTCTTAAAAAAAAAAATCAGAAATTTAGCTAGGAGCTTCAAATGACAGGACATTTCTATATACAATGGATTTTCTAATCATGGGTCCACTAACTAGCTGGATCATAGTCTTAGTTTGTATCCCAGACCCTCTAAAATGAGGGATAGGAGTCCAGGTACCTCGTTCCATGGCAGGCAGTAGTTTTTTTTATTTTTGAGACAGGTTCTCGCTATGTTGTCCAGGCTCATCTCTTTGGCTCATGTGATCCTCCTGCCTCTGGAGTGGCTGGGATCAGACGCAACTGCCACCACACCCTGCTCCTAGGCAGTAGTCTTAATGCCTGATGGTGGGGGGTTGGAGAAGGAAGGCATCCAACGTCAGGATAAATGCTGCAGAGCTGTGTTAAGGACTTAAGCCCAGCAGTCAAATGCCTCTGCCCACATCCTACTCTGCAAGGCTTTGGGCAACTTAAGCAGCAGCCTCTGTTTCTGTTTCAGTGGCTCTTGTTTGTAATCCCAGCACTTTGGGAGGCTGAGGCAGGAGGATCAGTTGGGCTCGAGTTTGAGACCAGCCGAGGCAACACAATGAGACTACCCCATCTCTGCTTCCTCATGTGAATGTGGTTTTAAGGAGATGACACAAAAACACACACACAGAATGCTATTAGCAAGTCGCAGCACAGAATAAATACTCATTTCATAAAGTATGTGTTTATTATTACCATAGGCCTACAGTCCCCAGTATTCTTCATCCATCTTGCCTGAGAAGTATCACACTCATGCCTATTAATCAGCTCACACATTTAATCAAAGGATTTTGGCAGCTGTAGGGTGGTCTTTTTATCCATATCGTCCCTGGAATTAAGTGTCCTGCTATACCCGTGCAGATTCAGCAGCATCTGTCAAGAGTTTCAATCCCATTTGCAGAGGAAAGGCTCTGTGGCTTCGGCCGGTGGCTCTCCATAGGTGCTGTGACTGGACCCAGCCCATCTTCACCTCTGTTAGGCTTCGGGGTCTTTCTCCACACTGTGCCTTGTCAAATCACAAGACTTCAACGGAGACGGCGGTCTGGCCTAGGCTCTTCTGAGTGGGATATCCGCAGGCCAAAAATCGGAGTCAGGATTCGAGGCCGTGCGCAGTGCCCGGAATGACCCCTCAACGCCGAGGCCAGAATAGAGCCCAGAAGCGGCCTCAGCCCCGCGCAGCCCAGGCTTAAATGTTTGCGCCCGGGCCCCTCTGGCTACCTGGTGGTGGCCCTGAGCGGCCCCGGAGGCCGCGGCGTAGCTCCTGGGTGAAAGCGTCTTTGAATCGCTCAACGCGGCGGCCCAGGGAGCCCGCGGGCCCAGCCGCGAGGTCCCGCAGGCGGCGGGCCGCGTCTTGGCCCCGCAGCTGGGCCTGGAGCAGTGCGAAGGCTGTGAGCTGCGCCGCACGTCGGATAGGCCACGACTCCGACAGACGATCCACTAGCTGCGGGCTGTGCAGCAAGGCGGCCAGCAGCCGTCGGAGCACCATCCTCTCCCGGCGCCCGAAAACCGCAGCGCGCCGCCCTTACCTTCTGCTCCGCGGGCCCGACCCGACGCCTTTTGTGCTCGCGCAGCTTGATGACGATACTGTCGCCCGGATTGGGTCCAATAAGATGCGCGTCTCCGCCCGTCTCCGCTTCCGCCACGGCAGTCGCCGCCTCGTGTCGGGAGTTGTCGCATCCTCGTCCGCTTCTCTGCGCTATGTCGGGTGGCCTCCTGAAGGCGCTGCGCAGCGACTCCTACGTGGAGCTGAGCCAGTACCGGGACCAGCACTTCCGGGTGAGGGAGGCCCGGCCGCGAGAGGGGAAGGCCCTGGGCCAGAACGCTGAGAAACGGTTTGCTCTTGTCTCGTGTTGCATCCCATTATGCTGGAGTCCCCAAACGCCAAGTGGGGCCTCGGTGCCTGCTGGGGAGGCAGGGAATGGGTGCTGCAAGGGCGTTTGGATATCGATGAAGCCACTTTCTCTGGAAGATTGAGAATTTGAGGCTCGCTTTCCCGTTCCCTAGCAGGCACTCCCGGTACCCCGGCCAGCGCCGAGAGGTTTGAGTGGTAGTAGTAGTGGCTCCCGTTTCCACGGTTTGCCTCGGGAAGGTGACTACGTAACAAGGGGGAGGGGTGTCCTAACTCCCTGAGTCTGTAGAGGCGCCTTCCTGATGCAGACACGGGGCTTTTTACTTTGTTTTTTAAATCAGCGAAGCAGTGCCTTTCCGCGATTCGGGCCCCCTCACTGGGAGGGTGGTCCTACGGAAACTGTACGCGGTGCGTGGGAGACACGAGTGGAGTCCTCACTCCGCCCTCGGGGAACCTTCGGAGTAGGAGGTGGACCCGTCAAGCTGGGCACGTTGAGGGTGTAAAGATGGGAGAGTTGCTGCATTTCAGAAGAGGGAAATTTTTAGTCCCAACTATATCGAATACTGTATCACTATATTTTGTGAAAAAGGGGGAGGCTGCAGATATTCAGAGTAGGCTTTTCAGTATCAACAAAGGCAGGGATGGAATACGGTTGGGGCTAGCGGGACTCTTTAACCCAGTTATTTAGTAAATGTTTATTGAGTGCTGTTGCTAAAGCCTTGTACTAAACCCTAGAGGGAGAGGGAAGACAGATTTTTGCACTCGACGAGCTCATAATTCCCCGTAGTATGGATTATAAATGGAGGGAAGTAATCAGAATCTAAGCAGAAGTGAGTTAAGACAGAAGTAGTGAAGATTCAGAAAAGCGGGGGGAATCCCCATGTGACTGGGAAATGAAGGGCTGTACATAGCAGAGGGTAGGTGTGGAGAATGTGTGAAATGTGTTACTAAAGTAGGGAAAAGGAAATTTTGTTTGACAGCAAATTGGGGAAGCTCTTAAATTTATTCAGCCGAGCATGGTGGCTCACGCCTGTAATCCCAGAACTTGGGGAGTCAGAGGTGGCCAGATCATGACGTCAACAGATCGAGATCATCCTGGCCAACATGATGAAACCCCGTCTCTACTCAAAATACAAAAAATTAGCTGGGCGTGGTGGGGCGCGCCTGTAGTCCCAGCTACTCCGGAGGCTGAAAGGAGAATGCTTGAACCCAGGAGGCGGAGGTTGCAGTGACCTGAGATCGCGCCACTGCACTCCAGCTTGGGCAACACAGCGAGACTCCATCTCAAAAAAAAAAATTTTTTATTTAAGGACGGGCACGACACGGTGGCGCACACGTGTAATCCCAGCACTTTGGGAGGCCAGGACAGGTGGATAACGAGGTCAGGAGTTCAAGACCAGCCCGGCCAAGATGGTGAAACCCCATCTCTACTAAAAATACAAAAATTAGCTGGGCATGGTGGCGGTTGCCTGTAATCCTGGCTACTTGGGAGGCTGGGGCAGGAGAGTCGCTTGGAACCCAGAAGGCGGTTGCAGTGAGTTGAGATCATGCCACTGCACTCCAGCCTGGGTGACAGAATGAGACTATGTCTTAAAATGATTTATTATTATTTACGCATTCCAGCCTGGGCGACAGAGTGAGAGTATGTCTCAAATAAAACAAGACTTATTTATTTTTTGAGACAGAGACTAGCTCTATTGCTTCGGCTGAAGTGCAGTGGCACAATCACGATTCTGCAGCCTCAGCATCCTAAGCCCAAGTGATCCTCCCACCTCAGCCTCTGGAGAAGCTGGGACCACAGGTTCGCACCACTACATATGGCTTTTTGTAGAGACAGGTCTCCCTGCAGTGTTCAGGCTAGTCTCAAACTCGGGGACTCAAGCAATCTACCTGCCTGGGCTTCCCAAAGTGTTGGGATTACAGATATGAACCACTGATCCCGGCTGGTCAGGTTTTTAGATGCTTTAGTGCCAGGCATGATTTGCACTTCTACCACTTTTACAGCTATTACTTCAGACAATTCCACATCCTAACCATTTTTAACTTCAATGTAAAATGAAAACTGAAAACTTTTGACTTTGTCTATTATTCATCTCTTCAGTCTAAAACCTAGAGCTTTATTTAGATAATAATACCATACTGTCATGTGGAATTTCTAGCATTCTGTGAATGGAATCCATATTCATATAGTTAAGTACTTGTACCGTAGTTATCTTAAACTGTAGGCTATTTATTTGGACCTTACTTATGTGTGAGGAAAGTAGAAAAAGAAGATGCCCCATCCATGTTAACAAATCAGTGACAGCAGTAAAATGACAGGAATTTACTTTGTCTAATGTCTCATAGTTCTAGAAACCTCATTTTAACATAGAATGACTATTGTTCTGTGGATTTTTTTTTTTTTTTTTTTTTTGAGATGGAGTTTTGCTTCTGAGGCCCAGGCTGGAGTGCAATGGCGCCATCTCGGCTCATTGCAGCCTCCACCTCCCAGGTTTAAGCAATTCTCCTGCCTCAGCCTCCCAAGTAGCTGGGATTACAGGTGCCCACCACCATGCCCAGCTAATTTTTTTTGTATTTTTAGTAGAGATGGGGCATCACCATGTTGGCCAGGCTGGTCTTGAAGTCCTGACCTCAGGCAATCCACCCTCCTCCACCTCCCAAAGTACTGGGATTACAGATGTGAGCCACCGTGCCCGACCTCGATGAGCCATTTTGGATCCAGGGATTTGTCAGTTGTGCTGGTTGAAGCCCAGTTATATTCTTGTCTCTGGCTTCATCCTTTCATCCCAATTTGGAAGCCCAGTAGGAAAATGAGATGTTTTGGTTTTTTTTTTACTGATCACTACATTTTTTCCTAAACTCAGAAAAATATATGAGCATGTAAAGCATCCACGTTATTGCTTTGAACAGTTTCTATAGGTGCATTAAAAGAGGAACTCTATCTGAAAATCCACTTACTTTTCACTGTAGAGGATAAAAGGGCCCTTTCTCATATATTAGGTCAAGGTCCAGAGTTTAAACTTGGGTTTAAAGGATGCAGTGCTGAGGATATGGTGTGTACATGGAAAAGGCAAGCCACTTGTGAGAGTCTGGTGTAGAAGTTATTTTGTTGTTTGCGGTGTAACTTTTGAGACTGTCTCTCTATTAAGAGTCTGGATTTTCCATAAGTGCTTCACAGATTATGTGAACAATCCCCCCTTTTTTTGGGCAAGGGATTTGTGGTAGATTGGGATGAGAGAATTTGATTTCCAAATCAGAATTAATGAATATTTTTTACCATGCTTAGAAATACTATTTAAGCAAGGCTCTTAAGTTGCTTAACTTTTGTTTCTATTTGAAATTCTAGGGTGACAATGAAGAACAAGAAAAATTACTCAAGAAAAGCTGTACGTTATATGTTGGAAATCTTTCTTTTTACACAACTGAAGAACAAATCTATGAACTCTTCAGCAAAAGTGGTGACATAAAGAAAATCATTATGGGTCTGGATAAAATGAAGAAAACAGCATGTGGATTCTGTTTTGTGGAGTATCCTTCCTGTGTTTAATGTAGCTGTTGAACCAGAGTAGAGCTGAGAGTGGTTGGTTGCCTGTTTGAAAAAAAAAAAAAAAAAAAAGTGAGGCTGTTGGTTCATAAGCATCCCTGCACTTGTTCCTACGTTTTCCTTCGTCTCCCTTCTGCCTTCTGTCATATTTATCTCTGCTCTTATACTATGAAAGCTGCTACTCTTTACATTCTCTTGAAATTCATGCTTTATGGTTAAGAAAAAGTTTTTCAAGAATATTTGCCCTTCATCTAAAAAAAATTCTAAAGAGCATAGTGAAAATATAAAAACCTTGTTCTGTTCTAAACACCTAATTCCCTTTCCTAGAAGCAGTCAGTTACCAGTTTCTTGGGTGTCTTTCAAAAAGTAATCCTGTGGGTGTGCAGTAGTGTATTTCATGTGCTGGTTTTCTTTTTAAATAAATTTTTTTATTGTTCCATTTCAGCACACGTAGGTCTGTTTTAAAGACAGCTGTATAGCTGGGTTTGATGGCTCACATTTGTAGTGCTAGCTACTCAGAAAGCTGAGGTAGACCCAGGATCACTTGAGCCCAAGAGTTCAAGGCTGCAGTGAGTTGTGATGGTGTTCCAGCCTGGGTGACAGGGCAAAACCCCATTTTTAAAGAAAAAAAATTTTGAAGGAAAATAGCTGTATAGTATTTCATTATGTAGATGTATATGAGTTGACTGTATAGGTAAAAACCAAAACTTTATTTACTTGTGATCATTTCATTCATTACTTTACTCACACTCTTTAAATATTGGACCTCCTGGATTTATCCTATGTTCTTTTTACTATATTTTATGCTTTGTTCATTCAGTTTAATATTCTGAGAAGTTTTGCAGACACAATCTAATGTTTCTGTTGAATTTTTTTCTGTGCCCTGATTTTATGTTTGTTTTGGTTGAAAATTTTCCTTAAGTGTCTGGTAATCCCTGGATTTCTGTTCATAATTAAGAACGCTGATTCACTGGACCTAGGCAGGGCTTCTCTCCCAGATGCTGGGTTGCCTTGGGGATATGCGGGTTTCCCAAATGCTAGAATGAAAAGAGATTTTATTTTGGCCTGCTAACATCAAAGCCACTAGTTCCTCCAGATGGTTTATTGAGAACACTATTGTCTTAATTGTCTGGGATTAAAAGTCTTCCTGCTTGCAGGTCTTCCCAGATAGACAATTAAATGGAGATCTCTGATTAAGTAGGTTTGGGAACTACTACCTTCTTGATACCTCGAGTCTTTCCTTCAGTGAAATGCAGTGTGATTCCATGTGCACTGTGACCTCTTTATTAAGGCTGCTCTGGAATATGTAGCACCTAACTTGAACATATAGCATTTGTTTCTTGGATAAAAAGTGTACAGTGGTCTAAACCTGCACTGAATGTATTTTATATTTTGCAAACCAAAATACGGAGATGATGAGACCAAAAATTATCAACAGGAATGTCCAGGAAATCAGTGTAGCCGTGGGTAAGTGTCACATTTGACCATGTGCTTCTAGACCAATTGCAAACAGGCCTGTGCAAGCTGAATTACTGTCTTTGCACTACCGCTGCTTGGATTAGCTCTTAAACTTTTTAACAACTCAGCTTCATTTACATGTTGTCTCCCATTTCCAAAAATGCTTGGGAAAATGCTAGTGTTCCTTAACACTTAAGATATTACTCACGAGCAGATGCAGAAAATGCCATGCGGTACATAAATGGAACTCGTCTAGATGACCGAATCATTCGCACAGACTGGGATGCAGGCTTTAAGGAGGGCAGGCAGTATGGCCGCGGGCGATCTGGGGGCCAGGTATGCAAGAAGGGTCTCTGGGCTCAGCCACTGCCTGGGATTCCAGTCACAATGACAGGTGTTTTGGCAATTTGTATTTACTCTTTTATAAATAACTTAGTGTCTATAATCTTGGCTTGAAGTGGATGTAAAAACACCCAGTGGTTTGGGTAAATTGATTTTTTTAAACCCTGTACATTTCTAACAAGCATCCATTCTTGAATTTTGCTAGGGGCTGGATATGTTCCACCTGCAGGAATATCTATAAGGAAAGCAAAATGCACTGAAATGAGTTGAAGTGCATATGTCCTGCTTGAAATGTTCACATTTGGGCATCTGAACAGGTTTCACTGACATGTTTGTGGGAGGTGTACTTTTTACCATTCTTCTCTATACTGTAACTCTGTTCTTTTGATTAAAGGTACGGGATGAGTATCGGCAGGACTATGATGCTGGGAGAGGCGGCTATGGAAAACTGGCACAGAACCAGTGAGTGGTGAGAGCTCCATCAGTGAAAAACACTCCTTTGGCCTAATTTGTTGAAGAACATAACTTAAAATCTGCATACAAGACCATTTTTACCAAGCTTTGATCAGTGTCTTTACTGAGCTGAAAGCCTCTTCTTGATTTTCCTCTGAAAGTTATTAAAGGACAGAAAAGGCCTTTAATTCTTGTCTGAGAATCTTGGCCATGTGTCAGATTATCAGAACAATTTTGTTACCAGGTCAGAAACTGTTCTTTTGACAACAGACTGGATCTATAATGCTGATTAGTCTTTAGCCAAACCACTATACTTCTTTTAGGAAGATGAGTAACCATTTAAAACATTTGTTTTTACTATATTGAGTGTTAAGTAGGTTTGTGATCTACATCGGGGCCTGGAATTATTTTTTTAATTTTAAGTTTGCATGAGATAATGCCTAGTAAATGGAGGTGGGGCCAGGCATGGTGGCTCACACCTGTAATCCCAACACTTTAGGAGGCTGAAAGGAAGGATAGCTGAGGCCAGGAGTTGAGACCAGACTTGGCAACATAGCAAGATACCCTTCTCTACAAACAAAGCAAAACATAAAACAACAAATGGAGTTGTGCTACGTTGTATGGCTTTGCACTAAATTAGGAACAGGTATTTGACAACTGAATTTGTTTTTGATGAATGTTAATCTCTAAAGGCAAGCTTAGAGAACAAGGACCTTCCTAAATAGTTGGTGCAAAAGCAGTCTACACAGGACAGCCCTGCTTCCATGCTTTACACATCAGGAAATGAGGCCAGAACTTGAGTATTTACTGACACAATTTTTCAAAGATGTCAATGTTATACCTAAAGCTAAAAAGCAAGGGTTTGTCATAGAACCTCTAAATAATTTCAGGGTTAGGGGAGACATTGTCAGTAGGAAATGGGATAAAATATCAAATGACAGTGAAAACACTGCTTTGACATGAGGACCATCAAATTTACTCTTCATTTTCAGTGATGTTAGGAATGGAGTGGGTTTAAAAAAGGATGTTGAAGTTAGAATGTTTAATAGAAACAATCACAGAAGGTTCCTGTAGGAGATGCTGCTTTTAGCCGTTTCTCATGGTGAAGTCTGTTTTTTTTTTTCCCTCAAATTGTACTTAATGAGGCTCAAACCTTCATGGTGAGCTGATGGTCTCTACAGAGAAGGGGGGAATCTAAGGAATTTATTTTGTATTTGTAAGGCAAGAGGTGATTTTTCTCTAATACATGTGAGTTATTTTTCACTTAAAACTGTTAGTCTAGTATAATTTTCCCCGATATGAAAAAATGTGAATTTTTTTCACTCAGCAACAGAGTACTTTCTAACTTCCAGTAGTTTGTGAAAGCTGGGGCTGAAGTACCTTAGTGTGAACGTCTCTCATGTTACAGTGAGTGCAGAAACCTGAAAGTGCTTAGGAAGAAACTCTGCAAACATTTAATGAGGATACACTGTTCATTTAAAAAATTTGTTTATACTGTAGTTTAAGCTAATGTATTTTATATTCTTTTGTAGTAAAAAACACATTATTTCTACAGGAGACAGTGGTTTTATTTGAATTGCCTTCTATATAACAGGTTTCAATAAAGTTGGACAAACTTACCGTTGTCACTTCCCGTTTCCTGCCTTATAAAGAGGAATGTGTTCTGGAACTCCTGTACTCTGGACTACACATGAATGAGTTCTAGGGGGATTCTATGAATAATGTGGAAATTTGCATGTCCACTTTGTTGGACAGTTGGAAATAAATGGCTGCATGTGAAGAGAGAACACTGATGATGTTGTGAAAGTGATAAAATAGGTATCAGGCAACCTCTACTGATGGAAGAATAGCTTAGGTTTCCAGAAAACATACTCTGGATGATTGCAGGGGAAGGGAAATTGGGGCTGAATTAAGAGGATCTAATGTTTCTTGGGCTTGAGAACACTAAATATGAGTTTCTACTGCACCACTCTTTTCTGTTTCTCATGGATAGCATCTGACTTATTTCTCACTTTAATCAGAGAAAGTGAAAATTCAAACATGTACACTAAGATTAGGGAACCACAATTAATATAGGTAGTGAAGTATGAGAATTAAACCTTCAATTTCTCAGTCAAGCTAACCTGATTTTAAATGCTCAGTAGCCACATATGGCTAGTGACTACTGTTGTAGACGAAAATACGGAACAAGATGGCGCTGTTGCTTTCAGGGTAAGCTGGTTAGGGCCTGCCTGCACTGCTCACTGTTCTTAAATGACCCTTGTCACGACTGGAATGTCATAAGAAAAAAATTACCAAACAGTACATGTTTTTCAACACAAGAGAACACAAGTTTATAAAGGCATTTAGTTTATTTTTCAAAAAAATATTTTGCTAGAAGGGTTGAGTACTGCAATTTCTTATGATGATAATCTTTTTAAATAAATTTTTTCTGACCAACAACCAGTTAAGTGAACAGCCTGTCAAGGTCTGCTTTTGTAACACCCAAATGCAATGAGCACTTCTCTGATGGTATTCCCTGGGTCGTCTTAATTATCTACAGGCCAGGAGGCAGAGCCTAGCACATAACAAAAGTATGTGCTTTATAACTGCTGATTTAATTCCGTTTCTTAACTAAGCAAAGCAAGAAATCAGTATCTCTATTTCACACTATTAATAGACTGTCTTGCCCAAAGAGTCTGACCTGCCCAGACCCCCCAATTACTTCTAACCCAGGGAAGCAGTAAACTCTAACTGCAGAGAAAAAGGGCAGCTAAGATGAGACCAGTGCTGGCTGAGTCCCAGTTAGGTCTGTTACTGTTTTCTTCCAACTATAAATCCAGGATGACAGTGTTACTCAGATCCAGTGCTAGGTAGAAAAGAGAATGCAAAGCCAAAAACAGTTTGGGGATTATTGGCAGCAACTTCTTTTCCCCTTCTCAGGGGGCCAACAGAAAGTTGGTTAGGATTCTTGAGAGAACTTAACTAAAAGTTGAATTAAATCTATATTCATTGCTATGGATTTAACAAAAGGAAAGACTGCTGTAAAGAAGTAACTACAGCCTGGTATGTTTGCTGAGGAGAGTACTGGGCAGCTTGCTGAAGGCTCATCAAAAGTAGCTTTTAGTTAACACAAGGCCTGCACTCAACCTCAAAAGCATTAGGTCTAGGCTGGGCACAGTGGCTCACACTTGTAATCCCAGCACTTTGGGAGGTAAGGCAGGTGGATCACCTGAGGTCAGGAATTTGAGACCAGCCTGACCAACATGGTGAAACCCTGTCTCTACTAAAAATACAAAAATTAGCTGGGCATGATAGTGTGTGTCTGTAGTCCCAGCTACTCGGGAGGCTGAGGCAGGAGAACTGCTTGAACCCAGGAGACCGAGGTTGTAGTGAGCTGAGATTGTGCCACTGCACTCCAGCCTGGGCAATAGAGTGAGACTCTTGTCTCAAAAAAAAAAAAAAAAAAGGTATAAGGTCTGCCTACCTCGTGGGCACCCAAACAGTTCAGTGCCAAACTAGTACCAGTAAAACCACATCTGCCTCTTTCACCAACAGTCCAGAATGTGTTTCAAAAATACCTTTATTAACCAAGGAAGCAATTACTGTAAACATCAGAAAAAAAGGACATTCTGATCTAGGACTTAAGTTAAACAGAGGTTTATACCTAATTTAGAGATCAAGATCATGCCACTGCACTCCAGCCTGGGTGACAGCGAGACTCTGTCTCAAAAAAAAAAAAACAGGGAAAAAAGACCAAACTCAACATTTAGTCTAAGCCACGCTGGCGGCACACCTCAAGATGCCCTATGAAGCATTAAGCTGGAAGTGAGAGTCACTGGACTTGGACAGCTCACATTTTGCAGACTGGAGGAAACAGCAGCTCATGCTCTGGGCGTTGATTTTCTTACAGGAACAATTCTGTCTCTTCTGCATGCCAGGTTCTGTCAATGAAGAACTGAAATACTTCCTCATTCAGAAGCACAAGACATTGTGAATCAATGGCCCAGTGACTGGCTACTTTGTATACTGCACCCCCACCAAAAAGAATTAGAGGCAAATTTCTGGCATATGTTTTGAAAAATCTCATGTTTGCATAATTATGTTTGAAAAACTCATGAAAAGCTCTTCCTCACCTTAAACTGTCATTTTTCCTAACGCTGACAGAACCCCACCTATAACAGCATAAAGTGCCTCTACTTTCAGTCTTTGTAACAACTTGAAACACAGTAAGAAACACTGACCTGGTTTTAAATTAAGGATTTTGAGTCTGGAGGACTCAGGAGAGAAAAGTGCTGGGGCTGCTTCCCAGTGTCACCCCTGGTGTTGGGAACCCTGCATGTAAACATGGTCTGACTCAGTCCTCAATTGCTGGCATCAGCCTTCTCAGCCATGTGAAATTAAACAATTTAGCTTTTTCAACATCCCAAACCTACCCAGGCATAAATTTGAGTATCTTCTGCCATTTACTTGGTGTTTTTCTATTCAAACTTCTGAGTTTCTCATACATACACTGGTTGTTTTTCCTCCCCAGATTCAGAAAAGATAATTGGGTAGGTTTAACATACGGCTTTCCCTTCCAATGTCACAAAGGGCTGGATTAAAGATGTAAGGTGTATGACATTAATCCTAATGCAGCTAAATGTATGGACAAGGCCATTTAGACCTTCCTTCAGAAGACGACCAAAAGAAGGAGAAAAAACAACTGCGCCAGTGTCAGCATTCGTCATGCAGAAGCCAGATGTGCCCTGCATGTTACTGAGATCACTAAAGGGACAGGAGAAAAAAACCTGAAGCAGTTGCTGCACTCCCATGGGAGTAAGTTGCCTTTGCTACCTTCCCTCTTCTCTCCAGCCACTTGCAAAAGATTAAAGTCAGTCAGTCTTCAATTTTGAATGTTTAAATTTCAGATACCCTTGAAAATAGAAATAGATTTGGTAAACCTTAACTTCTTTCGATTGGGAGGCAACACAGGGAAATGACAACTTATAATTTACTCCTAGCTGCATTCTTACTTGTTTTACTAGGTTTGATGGGATAAGAGTTTTTGAACAGGTCAAAACTAGAAAAATCCAGGGAATTCACTATCCCAGCAAAAGCCTTTATAAGATGTATACCATGTATTATAATTCTTAAAATCACGACTGAAATCTGTCATTTTTACTGGCCCCCGAAGTTGCTGTCTTTTTCTCACACCTTAATTTACTCTTCCCAAAGGAGGCACTGTGCTTACAAGTGTGCCTCCTGAAACAGAACACACCAGTCAGTTTACGACCACTTCCATCTCACCCTTCGAAAGGAATGAATTGCACTCTCCAAGACTCACTTGGAGAGGGAAGTCAGTGAAAGGTGCCACTGGTAAAAGCAAAACAGGACTGGATTTGTCAAAACCACTCCTAGCTACCCTTAATGCCCCAGGGAACACTTACTATTCTCAGAGTTATGTTGTATCAAAAACATCTTGCATTTTTAGGTTCTGGGAATAAATTGGAAACCTGTATTCAGTTCACATCTAACTAAGTTTCAAAAGCTGCACCAAATCTACTAAGCTTTTTTTTTTTAATACTCTTCACTGCATGCTCTGTCTATATGCATGCGTTTGAATAATAAATATTAAATATGGGGGACGCACGGAATCCATAAAATTAAAAATGAAACCAAACTGAACATTAAACAATAGTACATGGTAGCTGGAGAAAGAATAAGGGCAAAAAATAAATTTGAGGTAACAATAGTGGCCCAACACCACTGATCTGAAATATCTGTAAAAATTCAACTAAGTGTTTGGAGATTCAAGTAACAAACCATCTGCTCCAACTTGGTCAGACTTCCCAGAGTCCCTGCTGAGTTTCAGTCCATGAGCCGGCACTCACATAGCTCCTTGTAAATCCTCTTCCGCACTCGGGGCATGTCTTCTTGTGAAAACTGGAAAGGCTGCTCTAAGGCGAGGCACTTGCAGTACTGCAAAGGTCCCAGAAATACTTAAGTGGCACTTGGAGCTGTGTGCCAGCCCGTTATATTTTACTAAATGCAGACCTAATAGGGTCTAAGGCAGAAGTCCCCAACCTTTTTGGCACCTGGGACTGGTTTCATGGAAGGCAATTTTTCCACAGACTGGTGGGGGTGAGGGGAGGAAGTTGGTTTCAGGATGAATTATCAGGTATTAGATTCTCATAAGGAACATACAACCTAGATCCCTTGCATACGCAGTTCACAATAGGGTTCATGCTCCTATGATAACCTAATGTAGATGGTATATGTCCGTGGCCCAGGGGTTGGGGACCCCTGATGTAAGCATTTTCATGTCTGTTTAAACTACTGTAAAAACACATTGTTTTCAACATTTGCCCAAATTACAGTCAACTGAACAAGTTAGTATATGGCTTGGGACCACCTCTCCCTCCTTACCCAACATTGTGAAAAGCAGTAACTGATGAAAAGGCCTAAATTCCTCCCAAAGTGCAACCTGCTGAAAGTGCAGCTAGATCTATCATGGCCCTTAAGTGGGAACTTGAATTTGCTTACAAAACCTCAAACATGTATGAGGTATACAAATGAATCTGTCTTCCAAGGTCTTTGCAAATATCTAAATTCATGTATATATTCTGTAATTTCCTTCACATATATAAAACTGAACTTCTTCCATAGCCCTTTTTGATCTCTAAGGAGATCTACAGCATGAGATGGCAGTTTTTCAATGTGGATCATATTTAAAATTTAATCACTCTGTGTCAAAGACCTGCAGATTGCTTACCAATGGTTTTTTTAAAATTCTGCAGGCACCAATGGTTATGATATAGACAAATTCAAGTCAGTCTCCAATGTGGTCTACTAATAACCTCCAATGAGACATGGATGATACCCACAGGTCATTCTTGGACCCTGGAAGGTGGTTCTTCCTAATGATAACATCTGAAAATGCAGAAACTACTGCTCCTCAGCAATAAAGGGGAGGGAAGGTACTTTGTTGCTTGTACCTAGAATCATGTACACATACAGGAACTACCTTAACTCCCCTCTCAACCCAACAAACTCAATTCACACATTATAAATTCTGAAAAAACAGTATTTCTTTACCTGGAGCACAAAGACTCCACAGTCACTGTCATTTTTCTGTTGTGGAATACACTGAGGGGAAAAATAAAAGAGTCATTAAAATAAGATCAATTACTCCTCTTAAGATAAGAAAAACTCCTTTATGGAAAAATGTGCAAAAGATAGGAAACTTTTCTCTCTCCAGGACAACTGGTATATCCTCTGATATTTCAAGCATCTAATTTTATGGAGGCATCTGGCCACATAAAAAGAGCTATCAAGTGGCAATCACAATTATATTTTGTTTTACCTAAATATGAGAAATGGGAAATCAAATGTAAAAACCTACTTTAAAAACATGCATTTGGATCAGAGTTCTGCTATTAATTCAACGACAACAGAGGCAAAATGGAATTGTGGCTGGGAGGACACAGGCCTGGCCTCTGGATGCTAGGATGGTAACAACTCCGCTGAGCAGTCTTCACTTTCAATCTCACATCACACAACCCTGTCCTATTCTTTGAAAGAAATCATGAAGGTAAATAGTATGGTTTTGGTTTTTTGGGGTTTTGAGACAGGGTCTCATTCTGTTGCCCAAGCTGGAGTACAGTGGCGAAATCTCAGTCTCCTGAGTTCAAGCAAACCTCCTCAGCTTCCCAAGTAGCTGGGACTATGCCTGGCTAATTTTGTTTGTTTTGTAGAGATGAGTTCTCACTATATTGCCCAGGCTGGTCTTGAACTCCTAGACTCAAGCAATCCGCCCACCTTTGCCTCCCAAAGTGCTGGGATTACAGGCATGAGCCACTGTGCCCAGCCAACAGTATGTTTTTAAAATAACTGGTTACTGTATTCTTCCCAAAGTGGGAATACAGAAGATCCTGACTAAATTTAGAATACCTAGTTTTAGTCGAGTAAATTCGGTAAATTTACCAGTTCTGGTTTGAACCGGTATACTCGGTTATTGAAAACACAAAACTTAAGCTTAATTTTAAAATTCAGCATTGATTCAGTTTAGGGATGAACTAATAAATCTTGTCTCTTTGGGTTTGGGTTAAAGGTTTGTTTCAAGACCCTGCCTATAACATGTGTCAATGATCCAGATGGACCTGCGTTCAAGGACCTGACTATCAATAGTTTTGATGTCCTTTGGGGAAAATCACACCTGGGTTTCACTTTTCTCATCTAAAAAATAAAGATGATGTTTACCCCTAAATGTGCTGCCTACGTCCCAGGTTATATGGATCAAATGAGCTGACAACAATACAGCTCACGATAAATGGAAGACACTGGTATTTACAACAGGAATGAGCAGCTGTGCCTGGGCACTCTGCCCCACAGTTTGAATGTCATGGGCCAAATATGGTGCTGCATCCAGACTGTGCTGGGACTGAAGCTCTTGGGCTATTTACCCCACATGCCTGGCAAGTAGCCCAGTGCACTTTCCCCACTCAGTGGATCCAAATAGTCCTTTCAGCATTTCTCTGGGTCTATATGGGTCATCTGGAAATAAGAGCCATGACGCAAGAGGCAAGTGCCACCTAAAAAAACATTTTTTTTTTTCCCCAGAAGAGCAAATACATCATTAGCAACTGCCTCAGGGAGGAAATGACTGAAGTGATTTGCTCCCAGGAAGCACTGAGCAACTGAGCACCAGATGACGAACACTAAACTGAAGTTTATTCTCAGCTGCCTCCCTAGAGCCGCCAGGCTCTCCTTGGGAGCTCTATCACCAGTCTTCAAATGTTCCTAAAGGCACCCGCCCGTAGATAATTCCATCCCCTGGACATGCCTGGATTTCATTGTTATCACATACTTACCTTTGTAACAGCAGTCTGCCAACCCTGAAGAAATTCAGGTCTATTTTTTTCTCTGGCTTCAGTCAGCAAATACTTTCTTATATTCTGGTTAAAAAGAAACCACAACACAGATGCTGTGTTCCATCAGTTGTTGAAAAATGGAACATGCCCACAGCAGACAGAAGCAAAGGAAGAGGCTGTGGCCCCATAATTGGGCAGAGTATGCATTAAGAAGCTTGGAACAAACTTTTTTTAAGACATGGGATCTTGTTCTGTCACCCAGGCTGGAGTGCAATGGCATGGTCACAGCTCACTGCACCCTTGAACTCCTAGGCTCCAGAGATCCTCCTACCTCAGCCTTCCAAGTAGCTGGGACTACAAGTGCACACTACTGCTCCCAGCTAAAGCTGGAACTTTATTTCAGACTCTTCATTTTATATTGTTAAGGAGGACTCAGATCTTCTGTATTCAAGGTATGCACCAAGACTGGACACTGGCATTTGTTTAATCAGAACATTTTTTGAGATGGTTAGCTAGCCCTTCCTAGCAGTAAGTCAGCGTGCTGCATTTGAAACTTACATACTGGCAAGTCAAAAAGAAAGTCTTTATCATTGCCAATGCTCAACAGAGGAAAGGAACCCATTGCAGACATCATTAATAACTAAAACTAAATGAAAAACATTCCAGCCTTACATATTCTGATACACTCCTTATTTTTGAGGACTGCATTCATTTCTGGAAAGTTATACTAAAATTCATTCTGAATACTGAATATGGTCAAGTCCAGTTACAATATTTACCAAGATGAAGTCTGCTGGAGTTTCAAAATGTCCCCAAGGCCCTCAACCTCTGTGCGTATCTCTCTCCACATCAAGAGTGAAGTCAGAGGTTATGTGAATAACCCACTCCCATTCCACCCCCAACAAAAGGTGGACTGGGGCCAGATGTGGTGGCTCACACCTGTAACCCCAGCACTTTGGGAGGCCAAGGCAGGCAGAACACATGAGGTCAGGAGTTCAAGACCAGCCTGACCAACATAGCAAAACCCCATTTCTACTAAAAATACAAAAATTATCCAGGCGTGATGGTGTGCACCTGTAATCCCAGGTACTCTGGAGGCTGAGACATGAGAATCGCTTGAACCTGAGAGGCGCAGCCATGAGCCAAGACTGGGCTACTGCACTCTAGCCTTCCAGCCTGAGTGACAGAGACAGACTCTGACTAAAAAAAAAAAAAAAAAAAAAAGGTAGACTGGAAGCTACCTCTTCAGAAGAAAAAATACATGGTGAAAGCAAATACTTAACTAAGTATGAGAGCATGTTGCTCTTCTCCCTTTAAACAAGTTCTCAGAATAAGCAGTATATGTAAATTCCTTTTTTTTTTTTTTTCCTCACTCTGTCACCAGGCTGGAGTGCAGTGTTACAATCTTGGCTCACTGTAACCTCCACTTCCTAGATTCTAGTGTTCCTCCTGCCTTAGCCTCCCAAGTAGCTGGGACTACAGGTACCCAGCACCACACCTGGCTAATCTTTGTATTTTTAGTAGCGATGGGGTTTCACCATGTTGGCCAGGAATGGTCTTGATCTCTTGACCTCGTGATCCACCCACCTGGGCCTCCCAAAGTGCTGGATTACAGGCGTGAGCCACCACGCCCGGCCAGTATATGTAAATTCTTAAATACAATATAGGCAAAAAATATTTGTCCTTAAAAATGGTCACCTACACTCAAAATGTACTGAGCATCTATAATGGTTCAAGTACTGGGGATACTAGTGAATAAAGCTCTTGTAGTCTCTGCTGTCATGGAATTTATATATTTATGTGGTAACTGTTTAAAACATTTTTCATCAATTCTTTGGAAATATAGGCCCCTAACTCTTACTTAAGAGCCACTTCTACAACCCCCACATCCTCTTAAAACAAAAAACAGCTTGACCCCAACTGCCTGGATGACTGAACTGTACTTGGCTCTAAATTACTTCTAGCTATCACCAAAAAGGAGTCTGCTCTTAGGGTCTTTTTGCAAATGTGCAAAGTCATTAGGCCAATTACAATTTTTCTGAAAAGGAAAGAACTCTGCAGGAGGGCTTGGGAAAAAATTCAGAAGATGAATTTTTCAATGACTGTGCAGAATGTGACTTTGCAGGCCCTAATGATTCAGAATCGACTTAGAACCCAACTGCATGTTTTACAAACAAAATCCTGTTTAATCATCATTTACTCTATGAAGGCGAATGTCTGTCTGGACCCTACGTGACTCCCTAGTATCAGTGCCTGGCACAAAGCAAGAGGCACGGTAAATATTTCCTAGATAAAACGATTTTCCCGACACCTCTGCTGTCTTCTGCCTGTCAGAATCTGATTCTTAAAGGCACTGATATGGCTGCACTTTTGGTTATATCTTTGCAGGTTTTGTCTAGGAAAGAGACAATATAGACAGGCTCTGGTCGGTATGAGAATATGCTGGTTGAGAGACAGGCAAGGAATTAGGGGAAGGGAACTGGAAAAGAATGCTCAGACCTGGTATTGTACCAACTCTTCTGGGCTGGCGTAAAGAGAACTCGGCCCAGGAGGGTTCTTGTTTTCGAGGTTTTTTCTGGATTTTTTTGGAAATGAAAATGTGAATTCGGAAAACTTGATTTTCCTCATAATTTGCATTATATTTAATTTTTAAATTCAATATAAATTAAACAAATAATATAAGAAAATATTCTCCTTGTTAAAAAAAATTCCCAAAATAAGGCCAAAATATTCTCCTTGTAATTAAAATATCCCAAATAAGGCCAAATCCCCTTTGAATCCTACTTTTCTACAATTACCCAAAGGTAATAATCATTGATATAAAAAATGCTAAGATCCCATCTTTTTACTTACAAATATATATGTATATATGTGTCTACATATACACATGCATAGATTTGTATATATACACATATACATGTATTTTTTCTGTAAATGTATTATCCTGTGTCATTCCACAATTGGCTTTTTAAAACTCTATGCCTTGGACATCTTTCCATTTGAGGACTTGAAGGTCTACTATATTCTTTTTAACTGCTATGGTCAGTTTAGTAGTATGGGGATACTGTACCACAGTGTATTTAGCTATTCTCTTGATAGAGCTAAACTGAGATTGTTTCATTTTGCACTATTATAAATAATGCTGCCATGAACATCCTAGTACATGCCCCATCCTTGTATGCATATACAAGCATTTTTATGGATACCAAGAAATCAAACTGATATTCAACAGAATTTGCATCTTTTAATTTACAAAGCACTTAGAATTGATGAGAACTGCAGTGATCCAAAAGTGGCTGTATCAATGGATACACTCCACCAGAAAATACAAGAATGCCTATTTCCTTACGCTCAGATAAACACTTTAATAGCATCACTTTTTCTAACATAACAGGCAAAAAATGTAACTGATGTAGTTTTAATTTGCATTTCTTTTATTTCTGGTGAGGCTGAACATCTCTCCATGTGTTTTTAAATAATTATTTGTATTTTTCCTAAAATTTACTGAATTAGCCTTTGTCCATTTCAATTAGGTCCTTTTATCCTCCCCTTATTCATTTGTAGGGAGTTCTCTATGTATTCTGGATAATCATTGTCTGTTATTTACATCATAAACATTTTCTTCAAGTCTGCTGCTTGTCTTTTAACTTTATGATAGACATAAGTTTTAAATTATTAGGTGGTTAAATTTATCAAACTTTTGATAAATGTCTTTTCTTTGGTTCCATGTAAGAAGTCCTTCCCCACTCTATGAACATAGCATTTTCTGTATTTCATTCAAATACTTTTACAGTTTTGTGTTTTACATGTAGGTCTCTCTCTCCATCTACTCAGATTTCTTTAAAGTACTTAAATAAAGCTTTAAAAGTTTTCATCATAAATAATTTCCACATTTCTTGCTAGGGCATATTCCTGGGTTATTTATGTTTTGTTGCTTATAAATGGAACGTTATCTCCAGTTACATTTTCTAGCTGGTTCTTGATAGTGCAGGAAAATCCAGAAACCTACTAATTTTTCTTGATTTTGTATCCCACTATCGTGTTGAACTGTTATTAGCTGAACACTAATGTTTTGTCAATTGATTTTCTTAGGTTCTAATTTATTCTACAGGAGTTATTTTGAAGATACAAGCCAATTTTAGCTCTAAGATAATCCAAGAAAAACAATTTCTAACTACATTCAAGATGTAGTTTTAAGGGAAAAGCAGAGAATAACCAAGTAGAGTATCTCAGAGTGGGATCCAGATCTGAGACAGATCCTCTCCTCAGCGAGAATTCCTCTTCCAGTCCTTTTCTCAGCTAATATTTTAGAGGATTTTCATGAAATAAACTGTTTTGACTGCTGCTGTTCTATCTAGAGCTAAGATGCTATTTGGCCAATAATAAAATAAATAAATAAATAGGCAGTATATTAACTTACCTCTACACAAAACTTAAAATGAATGCCTTGGGAATCATAAAATGAAATAATTCGATTAGAGAGTGTCACAGTAATGAGAGACCAGTGGACTTCCAGATGAATAGGAATCAACAGAAGACTCTTTTTAAACAAATCCACCTGATCAAGAAAAGAGAAAGAAATGCAGCCATCACCACAGGCTATCCAAACCACCAAAAAACAGCAGCTTCCATTTGCTGACCTTTCACTTGCACAAGAGAAAAAAACTAGGAAGCAGTGAACCAGAATTGAACCCACGTCTTACTCTAAGTCCACACTTGTAACTACTAAGCTATATAATATACAACAATAATACAAAAATAAAGACATACAAAGTACAATTTTCTAGTTCATCTACTAAACCTGCGTGTCAACTGCCTGATACGATTTGGCTCCTTATTTTTATGCTTACCTCATTTTCTCATGTACATATTTAACCTGGATTCAACTCTTATACAAAGTACAATTTTCTAGTTAATCTACTAAACCTGTGTGTCAACTGCCTGATAGGATTTGGCTCCTTATTTTTATGCTTACCTCATTTTCTCATGTACATACTTAACCTGGATTCAACTCTTGTTTAGCAAGGAATCACAGTATTAGAAAACGGTAATAAGGGGCAAGGCATGGTGGCTCACACCTGTAATCCCAGAATGTTGGGAGACTGAGGCAGAAGGACTGCTTGAGCCCAGGAGTTTGAGACCAGTCTGGGCAACATAATGAGACTCTGTCTCTATAAAAAATAAAAAATCGCCAGGCACTGCGGCTCACACCTGTAATCTCAGCTTTTAGGGAGGCAGAGGCGGGAGGATAGCTTAAGCCCAGGAGGATAGCTTGAGCCCAGGAGTTCAAGACCTGCCTGGGCAATATAGCAAGACCCCATTATTTCATAAAAATAAAAAATATATAAAAAATAAAATATCAAGTGAGGCTCAGTGGCTCACACCTGTAATCCCAGCACTTTGGGAGGCCAAGGTGGGTGGATTGGAGCTCAAGAGTTCGAGACTAGCCTGGGTGACATGGTGAAACCCTGTCTCTACAAAAAAATACAAAATTTAGCTGGGCGTGGTGGTGTACACCTGTAGTTGCAGCTACTTGGTAGGCTGAGGTTGAAAGCATGGCTTGAGCCTGGGAGGTGGAGATTGCAGTGAGCCGAGATCATGCCACTGCACTCCAGCCTGGGTGACAGGGCCATACCTGGTCTCGAGGAAAAGAAGTAAAAATAAAAATAAAAAATAAAATCAGGTGCAGCGGCTCACTCCTGCAGTCCTAGCACTTGAGGAGGCCAAGGCGGGCAGATTGCCTGAGCTCAGGAGTTTGAGACCAGCCTGGGCAATATGGTGGACCCCGTCTCTACTAAAATACAAAAAATTAGCTAGGCATGGTGGCATGCACCTGTAGTTCCAGCTACTCAGGAAGCTGAGGTAGGAGAACTGCTTGAACCCAGGAGGCAGAGGTTGCAGTGAGCTGAGATCCCACCACTGCACTTCAGCCTGGGCAACAGAGTGGGACTCCATCTCAAAAAAAATTACAAATAATGCTGAGAAAAATTAAAGACCTAAATACATGCAAAAAGATATACCATGTTCATAGACTGAAAGGCTTAATATTATTAGACATCAGTTCTCCCCAAACTAATGTACAGATTAAACACAATCCCAATCATAATCCAGCATGCTTATTAAACAACAGAGTTTGACAAACTAATTTTAAAGTTTACATGAAAATATAAAGGACTTAGAGTTGCCAAAACAATCTGGAAAAACAACAAAGCTGGCAGACTCACAGTGATTTTGAGACACATTATGAAGATACAGTAATACAGTGTAGTGTTAACATAAAAAATAGACATCAGTGTAAGAGAACAGAAAGTCCAGAAGTAGACTTACACATATATGGTCAGTTGACTTTCTATAATGGTGTCAAAGCAATTAAATTGGAAAAGAAAAATATAGTAAGAAAAAAAAAATCTTGATCCCTCCCTACCTCACTTCTTATATACAAAATTCATTGAGATGCATCAGAGATGTAAATATAAAACTGGAAACTACAAAGCTATTAGAAGAAAACTCAGGAGGCAAATATATTTCAGACTGGACATAGAAAGCAGTATCTATAATTAAAAAAATATAGTAAATTAAATTTCATCAACATGGAAAACTTTCAGTCATCAAAAGAGTTAAGAAAACAGAGAAGCCACAGACTGAGAGAAAACAACAAAGCATAGATCTGACAAAGAACTTATATCCAGAACTACAACTCAATAATAAAAAGATAAACAACCCAATAAATGGCAAACAATATTAATAGAGACTTCACAAAATATGATACACAAATTTCAGTTTTGCAAGATGAAAGTTTTGGAGATTGGTTGCATAACGTTGTGAATATACTTAACACTACTGAACTGTACACTTAAAAATGTTTAAGAAAGTACATTTTATGTGTATTTTATATAATTTAATAAGTACTCGGCCAGGAGTGGTGGCTCACGCCTGTAATTCCAGCACTTTGGGAGGCTGAGGCAGGCAGATCACTTGAGGTCAGAAGTTTGAGACCAGTCTGGCCAACATGGTGAAAACCTTCTCTACTAAAAATACAAAAATGAGCCGGGTGTGGTGGCAGGTGCCTGTAGTTCCAGCTACTTGGAAAGCTGAGACAGGAGAATCGCCTGAACCCAGGAGGTAGAGATTGTAGTGAGCCGAGATCGTGCCACTGCACTCCAGCTTGGGCAACAGAGTGAGACTCTGTCTCAAAAAAAAAAAAAAAAAAAGTACTCAGTACAGTCTTTTGCAGGAAGCACTTACCATGATAACATATGCAACAATACAATTTTTTAAAAGACACAAAAGGCCAAAGACAGAAAAAGCACATGAAAAGGTGCTCAATGTCATTAGTCACCAAGGAAATAAAAATTAAAATCACAATGAGACAATATTATATATACCCATTAAAATGGTAAAATTAAGAAGAGGCCAGGGATAGTGGCTCACATCTGTAATCCCAAAACTTTGGGAGGTTGAGGTGGGAGGATATAGTAATACAGTGTAGTGTTAGCATGAGAATGCAGACAAACTGAAAGTTGTATATTGTCTGATGTGAAGTCTCTGTTGAGGCCAAGAGATTGAGACCAGCTTGGGCAACAAAGCAAGACCCTTACTCTATTAAAAAAATAACAACAATAAAATTAACAAGAATGACAATACCAAATGTGAGGATACAGAACAAAGGAACTCTCACACATAAAATGCTGGTTGGATTATAAAACAGTGTATCACTTTGAAAAATGGTTTAAGTTTCTTGAAAAGTTAAACATGCACTCACCATATGATCTAGCAATCCCACTTCTAAGTATTTACCAGGAAACTGAAAATGTGTATCTACACACAGACTTATATACAAATGCTATAGAGAGCAAAATGGTACACAACACAAATATCCATCAGTCAGTGAATGGATGACAAAATGTGATCTATCTAAATAACAGGCCACTACTCAGCAACTAAAAGAAATACACTACTGACACATGCAGTAACACGGATGAACCTCAAAACCATTATGCTGAGTGAAAGAAACCAAACAAAATAGTATGAGGCATGATTCTACTTATATAATTCTAGAAAATGCAAAGTTATCTAGAGTGACAAAAAGCAGTAGCGGTTGCTGGGTTAGGGGCTGGGCCAAGAAGGGTTGTACAAAGGATTATGAGGACTCTTTTGGAGGTGACGGAACGGTCCTATAGCTGATTACTATTATGTAAATGGTAGTCATAGTAAGTCATGTAGTATACCAAGGTTTACAACCACTATTTTCCCTTTCTTGTACATTTTTTCATGTTCCCCGAAATTAACTGTCTTTACCTTTTGCTTAGCGTTCTCTGTACCTACTAACTGAAAACTCTCTTCTGGTTGCCTATATCTTTTTTTTTTGCGCTCATACACTTTAGAAATTGTATCAATATCACATTCTTGGAGCCTTTTTTTCTGCTCCCTTCAGGATTGGTGGCTCTCCAGACTTGAGGCACATTGTCATTCTGCAGCTATTTTTACTGTTATGTTTAGTACTCTCTTTGCCTGACCTTTGTTTTGGATCTCATTGATTGAATGCTATGTCTTCTTGCCAGAGTCTAGCTTCTCCTGTGACTCTGAGAAGGATGAGAGGTAAATATCTGGATAACTTACATCTCTGAAAACCTTTTTCTGTTAGTTTTACGCTAGTTTCAGTCTGTCATTTTGTGGCACTTTCTGGGAGACTGACTCAAAATTTTAAATGTTTTAAATTCTTGGCCTGGTGTGGTAGCTCACCCCTGTAATCTCAGCACTTTGGGAGGCCAAGGCAGGTGGATCACCTGAGGTCACGAGTTCGAAACTAGCCTGACCAATGTGGTGAAACCCTGTCTCTACTAAAAATACCAAAAATTAGCACACACTGCTGGATGTGGGCAGTATGCATCTGTAGTCCAGCTACTCGGGAGGCTGAAGACAGGAGAATTGCTTGAACCTAGATTGCACTACTGCACTTGAGCCTAGGAGACAGAGTGAGACTCCATCTCAAAACAAACAAACAAAAAAAACAGAAAAGAAAAAGCTTTTTCTTTTTTTTTTTTTTTAGATGGAGTCTCACTTTTGCTGCCCAGGCTGGAGTGCAATGGCGCGATTTCGGCTGTCTGCAGCCTCTGCCTCTCGGATTCAAGCGATTCTCCTGCCTCGGCCTCCTGAGTAGCTGGGATTACAAAAGCTCCCACGCTCAGCTAATATTTTTTAATTTTTTAGTTAAGATGGGATTTCACCATGTGGCCAGGCTGGTCTCAAACTCCTGACCTCAGGTGATCCACCCACCTCAGCCTCCCAAAGTGCTGGAATTACAGACGGGAGCCACCATGCCCAGTCAATGAGTTTTTTCATACATTATTTGGTCACATACATGTCTTCTTCTTCCTTTTTTTTTTTTTTTTTTCTGAGACAAAGTCTCACTCTGTCACCCAGACTGGAGTACAGTAGTGTGATCTGAGCTCACTGCAACTCCACCTCCCAGGTTCAAGAAATTCTCCTGTCTCAGACTCCCAAATAGCTGGGACTACAGGCATAAATGTCTTCTTTTGAAAACATTTCAAAATTTCT